CCCCCCCCCCCCCCCCAGTAGAAATTACTTAGAACATGATTTAGAAGTGTAAAAAATAATTATTAATGAACTTTAATTATATCTATGAAATACTTTTTTTTTAGAATTGTGTGCGATCAAATGTGTCAAACAAAAGCTTTATGGTACCTTGGGGAAAAGCTGGGTTAAATTATTAACTGTAAATATGATGATTACATCACATAATTTCACTTGTAATTATCAGTTGGGCTGCACTGAAGTTTGAAAGTGTTTATTTACGCATCTTTTTAAAATGTAATTAATTTCTCCAGACCGATGGGCCATTAAGGTCTTCCAGAGATTTTTGTAGTTCCCTATGTGAAGTTGGTAACATTGTGTCCATGCTGAAGGTTAAATGAAATCTGAAGTTCATAAGAATGCATTAATGAATGTGGAATGTATTTTGATATTTGATTTGGTGTTCTTTTAGTTTTTAAATTATTGGAGGCAAATTTTGCAGCAAATTTTTATGACTGCATCTGCTCTCCTGATAATCTGTGGGTGACTGATTACCACATTGCAGACTAGCTCATCCAAGACACATTAGCATTCTCAAATTTTCTATGCACTATCATCAGTGTACTGTTTCATAGTATACATAGATTTATTCTACCCAAAGTCCTCATTCTTATTACTGAACTAATGAAAAGGTTAATGATGTAGCATCACAACTCAGAATAACAATAGTCATTATCACTGCAGTTCCTTTAGATAGGATTTGTTGTGCAAATTGAATTGCATTTGACTCCTTACAATTAATATATTTAATGTTTTGACAAAGCTTAAGCAAGTTCACTGGTAAACTATATAGACAAGAAAGTGTAGAATGATTTTTATATTCACAGAATTGTTAAATGTAAGTTATTCAGATTTAATCATTAAAATATGACTAACGATTTTATAGTGAGCCGGGGTAGCTCAGTCAGTAGAAGTGATAAATTATTTAATTTTCTGATCTTCATTTTTACTAATTCTGTTTAGCATCTTTTCAAAACTATTTTTAATGCCAAATGCAAATTTGATATCATTAATACAGAATGGGATGAAGTAAAAAAAATATATATAATCTTCAGTGTTATGAAATTGCATTAAAATTTTTTTCTGGCTTTTTGATTTGTAACCTTTTGTCATGAATGTACTTTATGTAAACTTTTCATGCCACCAAACAGGTTGTTCATTAATGTGATGCCGACTGTACAGTTTTTTATATTACACTCGACGACCAAATCATAAAAGTTCTCTTTTTCCTAATCACTGCTATAGGTTAACAGCGTCTTAAACAGCAGAACTATATGTATCAATTTTAAATCAAGTCCAACTTTTGTCTAAACATTTATGGTTTTTTCCTGTGTTATGAATGACTGGTAATTGATTGCTATAGTTCTCTTCATCTGTTCAAAACGTAGAAAGTTATGACGCACACGGTTTCAGTTCCCTGTTTATATCAATAGTCTATCCAAAAATTGTAGAGAATGCTTTTAAGCTGAAAGGAATATTGTAAAACTTTTTAACATTTTTCCTTTCTATTTACATTTAGGATGGACGTCTCTGCTGCAATTATGATTTCCGTTGCTCTTCTCCTATTCGCCAATCCGTTAGTATCACCACTGTCTCTGATGACAGCAGGGTTGGAAACACTGATGAATCTCATCAGGGTTTTGCTGAGCTCAGTATCACAGAAGAAAATATCAGTCAAATTGGCCCACCGCAAGCACAGATTCGAGAGGCTAAAGCTAGCGGTATCGCGAGTGATGTCGCTGCCGACGTTAACACGTCGGGTAGCAAGGACCTCTCAAAGTTCAAAAGTGATGGTGATCGAGGTGGTGAAAATACTCAAGAAACTGATAACAATGGCACTGTACCATTGTATGTTAATAGTTCTACAGTTCTCAATAATTCTGCCGTTACAATCAATAATGGACCTACTACAGATGTGTATACTAGTCAAAACTCTTCTTCTAGGATCGGTGTTAGTAATCATGATACTAAGAAACATTTTAATGAGACTGAAGGATCAGGTGTACAGAAGACCAACACAACAAATATCAAGATTAACGGCAATCAAAACAACCGCAGCGATGAACGTGGAAGATCGAATGCCGACGATTCCCACGTGCAAAAACGTGAAGTGATAATGAAACGAGTCTCGAAGTTCGTTTACTTGACTGATGAGGAGAAGAAGGTGGTTGAAGAACGGAAGGGGAATATTGCTCAGGTCAAAAGACAAGGAGGTGCGGACGAGTGAGCAGAACTGTTGAGAGCGTCCCATGGTAGGGAAATTATATATCTTCAGGATGAAAGGTGCTTATTGGATTGAGGTCACAAGCAGCTGAGCTAAGTTAGGAGGAGGATGTATGACAGGCGATTCTAGCCATCACTGTTGGCTTTTTGTAATGCTTTCTATTTGGATTTGAGGCTGACTCCCTTTATCGTTAGATTTACTCGACATTTGTAAAAGAATCTGATGTATGCAGTAGGGTTAAGATAAATCGAAGGAACTGTAAAATTCAGGTTCTTGATTCATTACTGTATATTAATTCTAAGACCCTACTGTTTGTGAAACTTCTCTCGTGACTGAGAAAAATTGGGAGGATGAACAAATGGAATTTGTGGCCTCCGAAAGAAATAATGAATTATCATATTTCTTTTCAAAGGACTGTATTAGAGAGAAGGGAAATTAAACTATGATGAATATGTAAAATGTTATAATTTTACTTATAAATGAATGACAGAAAAGGGGATGGCTGTTATTTCAATACACAAAAATAGAAAAATTGTATGAAATGACTGAGGCATTCCAAAACTTGGGATAGAGACAAAAGATTCAGAATGTAGGAAAAAGGACGTAGAATACAAGCAGGAACGTGGTCTTAGGCTCTGAATAATGTGGTAGGAACACGAAAAGAGGATTGATCTGAAACATTCCTGGAAATTAAATGTCAGCAATTACATAATATACAAATATGTGCACTAAAAAATTTTTAAAAGAATAAATGAAAATACATAATTGTACAATATCAAACTGTTCACATCCAAAATATCTCACATAATAAAAAAAAGAGACAGAGAAATATTTTAAATCAGCACAATGGCAGTACTTTGCTGGCTCAGGTATACCAGTAAACCAAAGTTGTATTCATACGGCTTAAAATAAAGGTTTTCTGGGAGTATTTAATTTGATGAAGTTAATAATGCCGGTAATGAAGCGGTTATGGGAAGCCCCTGCTTTTGAATCATTACTTGTGCTTGACAAATCCAAACTGTCTTCCTGTGATGGCATGGATGAGTGTGATGATGTATCTGTGAAATTTTTGTTTGTTGGATATAGGAAGGGAAATACCATTACGACGACATGGCATGTTTTAATTACGCCAGGAAAAATATCTTTGGTTTTAAATATATGAGGTAACTTCATAATATTAACGCAAAACGGTTAATGTGACTGTCTGCGTGTGGAACGTGGGACAGTCCACGAGTACCGGAAATAGAGTTTTAATATTGCTGAAACAAATATGCATAACTGCCATAAAACTGAATATTTGCGTGAGTTACTGCTGCTACAAATGAATGCAATAGGTTAAATGTGATTGGCATGCATTGTGAATGTAGTGTGAACATTTCCAGATCATTAATAAAACTAATAGTAAAAGTAACATTGGCTGTGGTAAGCTGCAGTATTGCGTATTGATGTGAATGATTTAACGAGGGAAGCATTATTATTGCAATAAAGGTTCTTAGAAATGGGGGAAAAAAGATATTTATGTCAAGTTTCGGTTGTGAACAGATGCAAATTGAAACCTAAAAATGGTAATTGAGCATTGTTTGTTGTTGATTTTGGTTCTCATGATTTGTGCACTGAACTGGTGTGCTTGGATGAAAGTAGTTAAACGGGCAGGATAAAAATACATACTTTACAGAACTCGACGTGTATCATCACACACAGAAGTGATTTAATTCTAATTGATCATAATACCATTTTTGCTTAAAATGTTAAACAAAATGCTGTAATGTTCTAGTCAGAGGGGGGGAAAAAATCACATCCATCACCTAGAATTAGTTGTATTTAAAACGCATTGCTAAATGGTTTATACACCTTACGAAGTATAGTTGGGTGTCGTACATAAACTCGATGCAGCTGTTGATGCATATCTGGGGGCTTTCAATAAACAACCCAAATTTATTGTGTTGCTATTGTATATAAATATAGATACATATATATATTTTTTTCCTGTAAAAGAATCTGATACATCTAGGGCATGGTTGATACAAGTTACACTTCTTGCTATCAATATAACATCTGTTTGACTTGTTACAGTATACGCGTATGCCGTTTAAAATTAGACGTGCGTCTTGTCATGAAAAAAGAAAACTATGGATTGTACAGGACAGTTAAGATGGAAAAATAGATAAATGCTGAAACTAAAAAAGAGGCGAGGGAAAGCTGATTATTACGGATATCATATGCTGACTGCTTCATCCATGTCCGAGGTTTGAGCTACAATTGTGATAAAACTCTTGCATGTGCATTAATATGGAAACTTTAAGTGTATGTACGTACATCCTACCTTTCCGTATTCTTCTCTCCCGCTCTCTGATTCCTCAACCGTGTCTTCAACTTCATGCAATGTAATACTTTAGTTCCTGTTTTAAAAGTGATTGTAATTACAACAAAGTAATAACGTAGCTTAAAGAGAAAATCTGAGTAAGATTATAGAAAATAATTGACTGAATACTTAAAATTTAAGCATCAGAAAAGTGCAGAAACCAGATGTTTTATTGCAAGATGTTTAATAAATATTATCCAAGAATATTTGCCTGCCTTCTTCCCTTAAAATTCCAGACACATTCTGTGTATCTGATGTTAATGATAGTACCACTGACAAAAAAATAATTAATAAATGCTCGCAATTTTAGAGTCACTAATTATAATACTGTACGTAGCACAAATATAACTTATTATTACTGCAGGTGGTTTCAGCAAGAAATCATTGCTGAATTGTAAAGCAAATAAAAGTTGTAAATTAATATAAAGAGAGAGAGAGAAATCGGCAGAGTGTATGTTGTGACTGGAGAGAGAGATATATACATTTAGCTTCTTAACAAAGGAAAATTTTCTGTAAGTTTCTAGCATTGTTAAAGGCAAGTTAAGATCTCTTGTTGAATGAAACTATGTGCCGTAATTTATTTGTTGTTCAAACTATGGTAAAAGGACAGTATATATCTGTACCATGAAGTTGGAGAATGCTCACATCTCCTGTAGTATCTCTTAATTTATTGCTCTATGAAAAGAAAAGTTCTATAAATGTATTCATTCAATTTTTTTTTTTACTATTGACAGCACTGATTGTAAATAGACTATTGTATGTAACGTTACAAAAAGAATCCTGTGGCAGTTTTTTTGTAATATAAGTTTTAACTTGTGTTTTGTACCCATTATAAGTCATCCAAACAGTATTTTTCATTTACCAAAAATCAAAATACCAAACCATGAGTCAGTGTAAATTTCTAGTCATAAATTAGAAAAAGAACAATCGATGAATAACAAACGAAGTGAACAGATTACCTCAATACTTGTAAACTATCTCTGTTAAAAAAAATAATAATTTGAGCAAATAGTAAATTAAACTAAGAGAAACCAAGCTTTATGTAAATTATATCTGTACAATTGTCATGTTAATTTCAGTTCTTTTTTGTCTGCAAACATGAAGGAGGAAAGAATTGAAAATGTTGTTTTATATTTTGCAGACATTTGAATTAATTGTACAGGAGCATATTGTGTTTCTTCTGTTGTAAAATGAATGTGTGCCAATTATTACAAATAAATGATAAATATAAAACAAAACTTCCCATTAAAGAACAAGGGTGGTAGGGTCCCTGTCCTAAAGTTTCTGCAGCTTGTATTTAATATATTGGGGTTGGCTTTCAGGTATGAGGCATGTCATTTGTTTTCTGTCATTTCTGTAAGTATAGGAGTTTCATTATCCAGGGTGAAAGTAATGAATGCATAAAATGAATAGTAAATATAAGTCTCGAGAAGGTGGCATAGATTCTAGCCAATTGATGTTGTCTTATAGTTCGTGGAAAATTATGAGTTGAGTGCCCGTAATGACAAAAAAAGATATAACAGATTCTTCTCAGTTTGTATCCATTTAACATTGATTCTTTGAATATTTTAGTGAATTTTCTGTATGGATCCCATTTGTTAATATTTGTCTGGCTTTTGTTTTATCAGGCTCTACCATATTTCATCTTTTGGCTGCTGCTCACCGCTGATGTTCCGGTCTTGTGATCCTAATGCATCCACAAATCTACATGGAGATGTAACAGCTATTCTGTCCAATAAATATCTTCTGTGAAGGTAAAGAGATCTTATACATATGGCAGCATTTTGTGGTGGAGGTGGAGGCTCCTTCAGTGAGATGGGATTGATTTCATGATGGTTTACATCTCGTTCGTGAGAACAGCCAGTCCTAACTTTTCTAACATTTGCATTATGAAATTTCACTCATGCAATTTTAAAGTATTTATAATTATATGTAAGATTAGGGGCGGTTTTCAATTAGTAATTTGTCAGTGTAACATGTTTATTAAATAGGACAATTTTGTTGGCCTTTCCAGGTAGTATAGGAACCTGTAAAGTCTTAGTACTAATGTCTTTGATACTTGTTTGTCCTATGTGTATTATTTTCCTGTTACTTTGTTCTTTTGTTTACCTATGTTATCTACAGCTTTTCTAAGGCTTATTGCACCATGTCTATGATTCTCTTTGCCAGTGATTCACATGGATCTTGTCAATATAAGTGGATTTTCTGTGACTGAATATCCTACCAAACATGTTATCTGGACAGCATCTGATCAAAGACATCACATATCGGTAATTGGCTGTTAATTGCTAATTCTGCTGTGAACTACATGTTAGGATGTATCTATGCCAAGAAAAGGCTAATTGATTCTGAATGTCTGTTGAACGAACATTTTAGACTTTAATGAATATGAATTTGACATAAAATTGACATGTCCACTTCTGATAAAATTATTTTGTAGTCGCCATGTTATAAGTTAATCCCTTACAGCATTTGCCAACGAAACCCGGCTGCCGCAAGTGTTCCCACCTCACAAGACAACAACGTTCGTATTTTTTTTGCGAAAGAAAATTAAGTACCTAGATGTGGGTATTTACTTTTGCAAAATGTTGGTACTATGTGTACCAAGATCACCTGACCGATGACATATATGATTTGAAGCACAGGTTATGACAAACCTACATTTGATTCAAAGTGAGGTTGTTGTTAGGTCTGGTTAAGTTATGGAGTTTCCAGTGCTAAAAAATGATCGGCTTCTACGAGCGGCACGAGGAGAGGAAGTGGACAGAGTTCCGATTTGGGTAATGCGTCAAGCAGGAAGGTATCTTCCAGAATTTCGTGAATTACGCTCGAAACACGGTTTTTTTTCCATATGTCAAAATCCAGAACTTGCTGCTGAGGCGTCCCTACAGCCAATTCGTAGATTCGACCTCGATGCGTGTATAATATTTTCAGACATTCTCGTTATTCCACAAGCTCTTGGAATGACTGTTGAGATGCTACCTGGAGTAGGACCAGTATTGCCAGAACCTCTGGTTTCATCTGATGACATATATAAACTAGATGTGACAGCAGACATTACAAAAAAGTTAAGTTATGTTGGTGAAGCAATTAGGATAACACGTCACAAACTTGACGGTAAAGTACCTCTGATTGGCTTCTCAGGAGCTCCCTGGACATTAATGGGTTATATGATTGAAGGGCGTGGTTCGAAGACGTTAGCCAAAGCCAAAGCATGGTTATATCAGGATCCAAATGCTTCTAAACATCTCTTAAAAGTGATAACTAATTCAGTTGTTGATTATCTAGTAATGCAGGCATGTGCAGGGGCTCAGCTGCTGCAAGTGTTTGAATCTAGTGGAGAACATTTGGGTCCAGAGTTGTTCAAAGATTATGCTCTACCTTACATCAAGGATATTTCTTCTCGTGTTAAAGGTAGGGTTAATGAATTGGGTTTAGATTATATCCCAATGACAATTTTTGTGAAAGGTGGTCATTATGCTTTAGAAGACTTGGCAGAAAGCGGTTATGATGTTATAGGACTTGATTGGACTATTGACCCTGTAGAAGCCAGGCAGAAGGTTGGTTCACGTGTCACTTTACAAGGAAATCTTGATCCATGTGCTTTGTATGCACCAGAAGAAGACCTTAGGAGGTACATAAAAGAGATGGTGAAGAAATTTGGAAAAAGTCACTACATTGCCAATTTAGGTCATGGAATTTATCCTGATATGAATCCAGATCGTGTTGCAGCATTAATTGATGCTGTGCATGAAGCATAAGATGCTAATAAGAATTATTTAAGTCAAAATATTGTAATGTAAAGGAATTGATGCTGGAAGAACTGTTCTTGCTCTATAATATTTAACGTGTTCACTGTTGAATGATGCATGAGTCACATGATTCTTGCCTTGGGTGTTGGTGGTAACATATACATGTGAATGTAGTCTCAATGACTTTGCCTGTTTTATGTTGTTAGCACTGCAGTTAAGTTTCTTCTTGCTACAGCGGTGCTCAGACAGGTTATATGTGCATAGATTTGGGTTTTCACTTCAGTGACTTCCCCAAGTCTACAATTCATGAGGGATAACGTTCATGATCCTTGTAAGTCAACTTCAAAATTACCATAGCGTGGTGCAGAAGTCCTGGACGTTTTAAATTAGCAAGTTTAGTAGCAGTGAAGACTATATTTTTCATTGTGATGACATTTTTCATAATGTGAAGGCAATTTTTATTTCAATAACTACGTAACTGGCTGGCTTCAGTACAACTTCAACAATGAATGAGTACTTCATTTATACTGAAGTTATTGTTTGCCAAAAGAAGAAATTAATTTTGTTATATTGTGTTCTAAAGTCTCTTAAATCAGTGAACAACTTGTGCGTCGACTGGCATGGATCATGAACTACCGTTTATCAGCAGCATTGGTGCATTGCATATCATTGGTCTTTATTATGGACCCCCCTTTTTATTTTAAGAGAATTAAAATGTGATGGTATAATTACAATCTGGTAGTATATAAGTTGAAAAAGTGTCTTTAAATAAACCATTAAAACATTTAGGTTATAACAAATGTGTAGTTTTAACATAAATGACATGTAGGAAACATTATATAATTACATGTAAATTTTTCAGATGGAAACAAGTAAACTTGGATATTTGCACTGATTGTCTTTACTTTCAGTTCTCCCATTACATGAGTGTAAAGTGAATGTTTAATTACAGTTTGTGTTGGATATATGACTTTCTTTCAACCGTCTGTCAACAAACAGTAATCTATGAGGATGATCATTGAATATTGAGTTCTTTGCACTTCTGCTTTGTATTCAGAAAGTTCTGGGTTTGAATTAGCTTGGATGCTGGCTGTTCTGAGGTGTTGTATAATTTACGAGGCTCGTCCTTAAAGTAAGTTTCCCTGGGGCCGTTTACAGAAACAAAGCACAATTTCATGGAAATATTTATTGCAACAGATACAGCAAGTGTCTAGCTATTTTTCAACATATTCGCCACCGGAATTGAGACATTTGTCATACCGTGGGACCAACTTTTAATACCTGTGTCGTAGAAGTCTGCCGCCTGGGATTGGAACCACTGTGTGACAGCCATCTCCGCCTCTCTGTCATTCTCAAAACGCTGACGCTGACCGGACAGGAATTTCTTGAGGTGTAGGAAAAGATGGAAATCACTGGGAGCGAGGTCCGGGCTGTAGGGTGAATGATTAAACACCTCCCAGCTGAACTCCTGCAGGAGACTTGCTGTCCGTCGAGCCGTGTGCGGCCTAGCGTTATCACTGACCGCACTTCACAGTCGGCGGGAGCTGGAATAAGAACCTCCATCTTCAACAGCTGCAACGATGTTACTGTGAGAACGCGGGAAGTGCCGTTAGTGCATGCGCCATGCTACGTCATTGCTCTATCACGTGCGCACAGTCGCTTCGCTCAATATAAGGTTTGCTAGCTGTGGGACGAGTGGGAAACTTACTTTTGGGACGCGCCTCGTATTATAACCTATCAAATCCTACATAAATTTTATGTTCTGTATAAGGTTACCTTCAGTCTTTTTCTGTATTACTTTTATTGAATTTGTTGGTCACATACAAATTGTATTTGTAAAAGTCCAGATGTATTTACATTTCTCATTAACGTACATTTCAACTGTTATATTTCTATTAATTTTTATGTGATTTAATTGAAATGAAAAGCAGGCAGAAGAGCATGATTTCTTCCATAAGTTTGTCTTGTGTTGCATTTTTAGAGTGTAACATTCTTTCTGAATATTCTTTTTGAGTTACTTTCCTTACCCACCCAAACTGAAAAAAAATAATATGTAAATGAACAAATCTTTCTGCCTTGTCTGTACCTCACAGGGAGAGAATTATTATTTTAGCATCTATGAGTAATTTACTGTTGTATGGAGGTGGAGTATTGAAGTTATAACCCTAAATTATACTGCTGTTTTAAGAATTATTCTGTAAATAGACTTTCCCTTCTCACATAATGCCATGTTATAAATGGACCAGTATCACAAATAACATTTTAGTTACAAAATTCAGCATACAAGAACATTGCCCATGTTTATTTCTCTACCTGAATGAGCCGAGGTAGCTCAGTCAGTATAGTGACTGTCTATGGACTGGATGACCGAGGTTCGATCCCCGATGAGCAGAGGATTTTTCCTCTAGCTTCTGCTTTGAGACTGGCTCTGGGGCCCACCCAGCCCTTTGGCAAATGGGTACCAGGGTTCTTTCCCCGGGATGTGACGCTAACCACTCAGTGGTCAGTCCACATGAGACAAGAACCCAGATCATCGCCACCATGAAAACCTTAAAAGTCACATTAATACTGTAGTTCGACAGTTGATACACGCAATAGATGTATTAGTTGTAATTTGTGTTTTTTTTATAATTTATATATTTATATTTCTTCTTTGTATAAGGTTAAGGATTTTAACACAATTGAAACTATTACCTAGATCGGCTCAATATGGTGATATGCAAGCATAATTAAAAATTTCTTATACTTTCTATTTAAAAAGCTCCTTGAATGTTGGGGTTAAACTTCTAAGCAAGGACTGGACTGCTACAAGGTTTAAAAATGAAAGACTATTTGCAGAAAATCATTTTCTTTTATTAGTTTTACATCTCAACAGATGCAGCACTCAGCTTAACAAAACCTTTCCTCTTTTATTAGTGCCTTTCCACTTCTTGATTTTCTTGTGTTGTTTAAGAGTTTTCTTCTGCTTCTGTTTCTTACCAGTTTTCTTCTGCTTTTCATTCTGTTTGTTACGCTCTTGCAACTTCCTCGAATGCTTTTTCTTCAATTTGACTGGACTGTTCTTTGAGACTGGAGTTTCAATTTCTTTAATTTTCCTTTCTGTAACTTGAGTGTGAATCTCACTCGCCTTCTCCATGGTATCGCCAGAGAAAATTTCATCAACTGGATTCAGGTTATACGACTCTTTTGGTCTTGACTCTTCGTAAGCTACCTTCTTCTCCAATCGGTTTTCGTACCTATTAGCAGCGAATTTCCTAACCTGGCGACGATACTGCAAACAAATGAATTAAGAACTTAATACTTTCACATCTGGGAAGGTTAACGTGCAACATTTATGGTAGGTTTTATAAAAATCAGAACTCCTCAAAAATGTCCACAGCATTTGTGGAAATACCATCCTGACATGATTTTATATTGGAATGAATAATAACATAATATCTATCATGTATATTTATAAAAACTACAAATTTTTACTAAATATTGGGTTCATATTTTAGTACAGAGCTTGTTAATACATGTAATCAAGATGTGAACAGCTCTTTCTAACAGGCTGTATATATTACCACTGCTGGCGATACATATCGTGGATTCTCCCATATTGTCTGCCCTCGGAAACTTCCGTCAAAAATCTTGATTGGATTCAGTACAAAACGTGGTCCAATCTCAGCCAAAGCTCCGTCTTCGGACAGGATTTGAAAGTTTCGAAACCAAATGCGATTGTCTAGTACCGAGAATGTAATCACATGATCTGTGAATGGCTGGCTCTTTGGATGATGATACGGTGTACCAAATATCTGTAATAAAATATACGTTCGACTAATATTCATCTGGAACGGAAGCTGCAGTTACATAATAAATGTCGATATCTTCGTATTTTCCGTACACCTTTGCGGAAGCTGCAGTTACATAATAAATGTCGGTATCTTCGTATTTTCCGTACACCTTCGTTGTTTAGTTATTTTTTCACATAGGATACACTTTATTGTACTAAATTATTTATATTTTATATTTCATACCTGTACAAAGAGCTCTTTTAGAAGATTGTAGTGAGGTTTTGTGGTGAAATTTTCATCAAATGAAAGTACAGGTCTTGAACCTTTCAAGCAATTCCCAGTAAACTTTAGTTCAGCCATAGTATATACTGAAATGACAAGAATATTCACTGCTAATTATTAATATCATTATGTAACATTTTTTGGACTATTCCAAGCATCTGCCCATTTCTGCAATATTCTTCGGTGTAACTATCTTTCCCTTTAAGAAGACAAAAATATTTTAATCTTATTATGGTAGTTGGTAAATTAATTCAGTCAATTCAACTCTGTACTGATAATATACTGTTTATTTTACGTAAAGTATTTTGTATCAAAACATTTGTGACTGAATTTTAATGAGACCGATTTACTTAATTTTTTCTACAAATGCTGGCGAAATGAAGTGCCACTTCACCGATTTGTAAAAGAAAAAAAAATACCATTTTCAACCAAAAATTTGGCTGAAGGTCCATCAGGAATATTGGTTATCCACATGTATAAGTCACGTTTCAGTCGTCCTTCAAACAAGATGCATTTATTGCAATTCTTCATCTCGCACATCTGAAATACAAGGCACAAAATATACTTCTGTAATTCATTTGACATTAATGTTGCACACTGTCCATGCCACAGATTCGTAGCAATGGGAGACGGTGACTCCATACAAACACATTTACATAAGCCTCTTATAATATAAAATACAAAGCAGACACTACAGGAAAAGTTTGGGCAGATCCATTTGTTCTGCCTGGATTTATTACATATATTAATAAACTTAAAACTCACTTCATTGATGACAAAGAGATCATCTTTCCGTTCCATTTTGCTCTCTGGCTTGGAATGTGGCATTAAAGTCCTCAGATCTTGCATTAAATGGCGATCCCTGTGAGAAATTCCTCTTGAAGCAAATACAAGAACTCTCTGTTTGTTGATCCATTTTATCTGAAATTCAACAATTCTTAAAGTTTTATTAGTCTGACATTGTGCTGTAACGGCAGACTGTATAGTTAAACTTACCATGATTCAGACTACAAATAATTTAAATGTAATGTAAAAAGAGAAACATCCATTGGTCAATTCCAAAAACCAATTTCTGTTTTTTCCTAATGCAAAGGCATAACAGGTTAGTCACAAGTGTGGCTTTAGGGAAGGAATTTTAAGAAGTATCACTGGAACCACAGTGTTCACAAGTTATTTCAGCTAATATTTGTAACTCTTCACATCAAAGAGTTCACTTCATTTTGTGAAGATTAGTAAGTTTTTCAAATTGAAAAGTTGGAGTTAGGTGTATCCAGACTGGGTAACGGGTTTGATAGGTTATAGTAATTGACCATTCTTCCCCTCGAAAACTTTTGCTGTTTTACAATAAATTTCTCAAGCTTTGGGGATATGTAAGATTTGAGGACACGTTTGGCCTACAATGGCCCCACACCTGAAGATTATCTTACTCCCGAAGAAGAGGAACCGAGTTAGGTTAAGTCGGGTTCTTTACCTTTTTCGGAATTGGTTCATCAGAAAAACGTGCTCTCATTGGTACTTCATTATCTGATGAATCTTCTTCTGCCTTTGTTATATCCTTTAGTTTACGTTTTGTTCCTTTTAACTTTCCCATTTGTGCTTATTTAATAATCAAGCACTATAAACGCCTTCCCATGAACACGTGAAACCTACTGCAATATCTTTGCCAACTGATGAATCATTAACCTGTGCGCATCCAACAGCGACTACCATTTCGTAAGTGATTGGTACTGCTTCCAATGGAATTTTAGACTTAATAGGCTTAAGCCAAGGATGCAGAACGTGTAGCACAGTTACACTTGTTTCTAATATAAATTACATGGTTATGAAAGTAATGAAACTACAGTACAACTGCAAAAATAATTAAACAAGCTGTGAATGTGATCAAATTGTTCATCTTGTTTTCCGTGTTACCCATCACCCTTGCATGTTGATATTTTTGCCTGTGCACATCTGTGCCCTGGACCGACTATATCAATCGTGATTATCTATGTTGGTATCGGTGCTTTCGTGTAAAGGTACAAAGAATTTCGAATTCATTCATTTTCCTGTTATAATTGTTGACATTTGAAAATAGTTACACATATAATTTGTCTATAAGTCTTATTGGAATAATTTTTAGCATGGAAGCATGTAAATTTTCTTTCCATCGAAATTATCGCTTCATATATGCAAGTTCCTTGCATTATTACGAGGTACAACAGTAGAACATCGAGTCGTATATACACCGTAGACATATATGTATAAATAAGGGTTTATTTACCTTCATATAATGACTGTGCTCAGAGTCATAAAATAGAGTTCTGGAGCGTTTATTGTATGTGCAACTGGAATCTAATTCCATAATGAGAGGCCGTGGTCGTGGTCGAGCTCGTAGTCGTGGGAGAGGAAGAGGATCTCGTGGTCGGGGAAAGAAAGCTGTCAAGGTAATCCTAGACCAATAAACTTCATACTTACTCATTTTTTCCATTCTGTCTGCTACGTTATGTTTCTTTTGCATCCTTGTTATGTATTTTCAAAGCTTCATGACAAACCGTTATCCACAGATACAGACTATGCTTTCCAGTAAGCCCCAAATTTTCTCATGTACCCTCAGTCTACGTTCCTCCATTAGTGTCACAGACGAAGTTTCACACTCATACAAAACTACAGGCAAGGTTATAGAGGTGGGTGGGAAATAAGTAGGCATTGGGAAATGGTTATAAGCGATTATTTATTGCCTTAGTTAATTTATTTGTCCTCAGTAAGTTTATATTTTTTGTTGCTAATCTGCACCAGTAGTAGGTGTCAGTTAATTGCAGATTCTTGTTTTAGGTTATAGAAAGTGATGAGGAGGAAGTACCGTTGCAGACAGGAGAAGAAGTTCAAGAAACTAACGATGAAAATCAGCAGCCTCCAAAAAGTAATTTCCCCAAATCTAGCTATGTTCATTACAGCACTTGCTTACATTATTACATTTGTAATAATAAGTTAACATTTTCATTTGTTATAGTTGATTTGGAGGCAGATATATCTCAGTTGGAGGCTCCGACTTTTACGACAATTAACCGTGGGCCCCCTGAGCCTATGCTTCGTCTTCGTTGGGATCATCGAGTGAATCTCATTGGTGAAAAAGTTCTTAATCCAATGATACATTGTTGTGATAAATGTATGAAACCGATCCTGATATATGGAAGAATGGTATGTATTTTATTAAAATATTAAAACATCAATTTTTGATTAAGAGACATGCTCTTTGTAAGGTAAAAAGTAAATTTGTTCTTCTGTTTAATCAAGTACAATGCTAGTACTTAATTAAGTACCATGCTATGAAAATGTGTGGGGGAGTGGGAAATATGCTTCAGTTGGATAGGAGGGGGTGTAGGTCCCAGATTCAATATGGATAGGGTGGCAAAAAGAAGTATCCCTGTATGTTGGTAATCATATTGTGTTCTTTCAGCCTGTAGCTGCGGGCGATACCTCTGATTGATGTAAATACAATGGAACCTCAATATACCGTGCATCATTACGCCGCGGACTCGGATATACCGCGTCTATGATCATGTCCCCCAATAAAATTACTTATGTTTTACATCGTACAAATTTATATTAAATGTTTTGGTTACATTTTAAGACCGCATTGCAATATTCCTTGCTGTAGTGTGCGGGTTCAGAGGGTGAAGTCCATAGTCCACTATGAACAGGTGTTTCTGGTTTCTCTAACTTTCAGGTTATTTATTAATATACTAGCAGATCATAGTTTTTGGGATGTTCCCCTCTCAGGTCATCATAAACATCATCAGTCAAGGAGTTTGGTGATATTGACCCGTTCCGGCATCGTAGTATAAAAGTCTCTTCTGCGGTCTTCCAGGGTTTCTTTGTCCAAATGGTCTGTAGTTGTTTAATAATTTGGGAAGTCTGTTAACATGTTGACCTCTCTCAGGTATCATATCTGTATTTATGGTTTAACGCTTTATATTGCAGATTCCTTGTAAACATGTGTTCTGCTTATCATGCGCAAAGAGAGAAGACAAAGTGTGTCCTCGTTGTTTAGAGAAGGTTACAAGGGCGGAACAGACCGGACTTGGTACTGTGTTTATGTGTACACATGGAGGGACAAGATACGGAAACACTGGATGCAGACGGACGTATTTGTCACAGCGAGACTTGCAGGTAATTCAAATTAAATTAAATTGAATTAAATGCTGAGAGGAATTTCACAAGGAGTTGTGTTTCTTCATTCAAAGGCAGGATAAAGAGAAGACAGTTAAAAATATCTGCTACTAAGTTTTGTATTCTGTAGGTTAAATATTTGATGTTCAGTTTGGGTGCTAGACCTGCATATTATATGTATATTGTTTTTCTTATTTCAGCTAGGACAATTAAATATTGAGAATTTGCAAAGAACACATTGGGGAGTGTTTAATCTGGTGTGGATTATACCTTTATAGTCTAGTTTAGACCGGCTTTGGCTTCGAAGGGTAAAGAAGCTGGAAACAAAATTTTTCTTCCGTATTAATATAATCTAGATGTAGAAACCATATGTGATGTTAAGTTACATTTACTGCAGTTTTTTAAATTACATACTTTAAGTCAGCTTCACTTCTTTTAAATAAATTACAGGCTCACATTAATCATCGTCACACAGCCGTGCCAGTCCAGTCCATAGGAGACAATACTCAGTTCCCTCTTGTAGTTACAGGAGGGAACACCAAACCTCAAACTCAACAGGATGCTATGATGGTTGAGACCTCGTCTACAAACAAAATGGTTGCGCCAAATCCTCAGCGAATGAAGCAGCCTCATATGGTTCCACAGCCATCAGTAGGTGATCCAAGACTTCAACATGCTACTATCGTTCCCATATCAAATACAGGCACTGTCTTAGATCATCATCGCCGTGGCCCTCCACAGCCTTCTCCTCCGCCGCCACCACCACCTCCTTTTAACCCCCACCATCGTCCTTCCGCGATGATCGTATCGGGATACCCCACCCAACAGCAGACCCCTCAGTCAAATCCCCCTCCAAATATGAGAACAAATTTAATAACTGTTCCGATACAAGACAACAGCACTAGCGTGATGGTGGATCATCCTCCGCCGCCACATCCATCTGCAGGGTACCATCATTATCCCCAGGCTCCTCCGCCACAGTATACACCATATGCAGTTCCTCCACCGGTTGTGGGTCCATCACAACCGCAGGCAGGATACTATCAGGCTCCACCAGGTACTGTCGTTGCATATCAGAGTGCACAAGTACCGCAGTATGCAACCCAGGGTGTTCCTCCTAATCCCACTGCTCCAGTTCGAGCACCACAGTATCAGGATCCTGTAGGACAACAATATGGGGCTCCACCACCACAACAGTGGCAGCATGGACCTAACAATCCACCTTTCTATAGGTAGACATAGTCTAAACAAGCATAATGTTAGAAGACGCATACTGCGTGTTATTTATAGTGAATAATATTCTTCATATATTGATTTAAAAATATGTATGTCAGCCATGAAAGAAGTAATTAAGAAGGCAAAATAATTTTGTTTTTAACACTTATACAGTGATATGTAAAGACAATAAGGGCCCAGCAGTATTGAAGTAAAATGCTTATTATGAATAATTTAACATCAGTGCCCTAAAACAAAATAAAAATAACTAAACTTCGTATGATGATAATTGACATACTTTAATTATGTGTGTGATTGGTTATAAAACATACATACACAAACCTACATTCTACAATGAAATCACAAATTATTTTTTTCAGGACACCACATTATTTGTTATAGACAAAGACATGTTAATGTTCGTTGCATTAGAGAATAGATCACCTCAGGTCAAGATGTGTCATCCCTTTATATCTAAAGACAGAGGAAGATCCGTCTTTTGAAATGTGGTGTTTTTTAAAGCTAATTAAGTTTCATACTGACATTGAAAGTCTAAAATAAAAAGTTAATAATACAATAATGTCATCAAAGACATTTAGAAACAATTATCGGTACTTGTGGGTTATAGGGACACATTGCTTTAAAAATAGGTTAGGTTAGGTTAGTTGTCATTTATTGAAATAAAATATAATAACTTTCAAGTATATGTCATTTATCCACACACATTAACCTAATCTAACCTATTTTTAAAGCGATGTGTCCCGATAACCCACAAGTACCCAATTATCTTATTTACTGTTTTTTCTTTCTAATGCTGTTGTAAGCATTAATTCAAATTGCAATAGATGAAATGCCATTAGACTGATGTGAGGCTTTGTAAATAAAGTGGTGACACTACAGACATTATATCTGGCATGGGGGAACCACTGTAGTAAAAATTTTGGTAAAGACGGTGCAAGCTTAGTTTGTTTAATGTGCCGACACCAGGTTTATTCAAGACAGTTGATCTATATAGTTTATTGCGTAATGAATATGATGAACTTATAATCACAAACATAAAACAAATTAACAATCTTAACTGTAAAATATACATATAATATAACTGTTGGGCTTCCATTATGGTTATTATCTGATTTTGAGAAAACATTTTTTTCCATGACCATAGATGAAATGGGTTAGCTTATTTCATACAAACAAAGTTAATAATATAAAGAGAAAAGTTGTAAGTTATATATTTATTAGGATTAATACTTTTACAAGTAAGGTTGTCTAATGTAGATTTTTCATATTTTTACTAATTTGTTCCAAGTAACAGTGGTATCAAGAATTACTTTCATATTTTCTTGAGAATATCAGTTTCAGCTTCCATCTTTTTTTTTATAGCACTTAAAATTATACATCCTAGGAAATGTATATCTAGCATAAATCATATTCTTGTGCATTAACCAGGGTTTGACGTTTGTCTTTTTCGAATGGCTCCGACTAAGTCAAAATCAGAGATTCGCCACGTTGTGCGACTTCCACGAATATTCACCATCAGTTCTGTGCGCATAAACGCGCAAAGTCTTAATGCAAAGTACCCACTGTTATTGTCCGATTGTACCTGAAACTGGGCTCTCTTGACAAATTTTTGCCAAATTTCCCCATATCATATTTAATGAAAATTTGTTCAGCAGTTCTTAAGTTACATGCATTGACTGACACAACGAAGTTAAAGTTAGGTGAATATATGCATCTTATTATTACTCATTTGAATAATAATGGTCCAGTTATACGGGATTCTAATGGTTCTACTAATATTAACTTTCATTTTATGGAAATGTAGTTCACTTCTGTCCATTCATTAACACATCTGATATTCATGACTATGTTCTTATATATATTTACACACGTGCGTGCAAACTGTGTTAACAATGTGTTCTGTTCGTAAATAACAGCTGACAAATTACCAATACACAGTGATGTGCGACATTAACCGTTAGGTTATCGATAAGGTCATAAGACTAACTGGAAGAGAAAACTGTCCTTTATTAAATGCTTCATCCTAACATCAATTAATCTGCATAAACAACGTTCTGATAAAACACATTTCACACAATTAACCTTCTTATATAACAATTGTCACTCTAAATGTGTGTTATTTTTCATCAAATATTTCCACAGAATGTATATGGAAGCAATTTCCCCATAAATTGTCAATTATTTACTTGTGGAAAGTTCCTATTTTGAAGAATCTTACGGTTTACACATCTCAGTTAACTAAGCACTTGTCTAAAGTGCTAATGCCCTTGACTTGTATTTGAGGGGTGCTCGGTTCGAATCTCAACTGGAACACCGACTGTCCTGACAGAGTCTTTTGTTTTCTTCAGTCACTGTTGGTGAATGACAGAACATAACCTGTCGTCATTTGACAATAAATAACCACTGCAGCTGATACAGCATAATTTAAATACATCATATGCTACATTTATTAGCATGAATTTCTTATGGACAATGGTGCTTGAGTTCCAGTATTTATTTTACATTTTTTCACTATCTAGAACAATCCCATACCCACAACAGTACTATTTTCTCTCAACAGGTTTAAATATAAACCAAAGTTTATCTGATATTTGAACAGACAGACAAATTTCCTTAACATTACTATACAGAAAAATCTAATGGATGAATGACTTTAAAAAAAAAAAATATGTTACACCATGGTACAATACACAATTCTCTCTCTGACAAGATAGTTCCATTCCGTTCTGACTTCCCGTTATCACGTTTTTGCCAATTCAGCTTCTACGGTAATAATTCTATCAGCTGGACCAGGTGAACTAACTGTAGGCTTTGCTGGCGTTTCTTCTGACGGCATTGCGATTGAAACAGCTTGACTTGTTGACGGAACAGCAAGAACTTTGTTTCGGTCTTGTTCCCAACTAACTGTTGCTGTCGGCTGTGATTCCACCTTGCCTAGTCTCTCACTTAATGCCTTTAGTGCAATTTGCCTGGAAAAAAAAATATTGGTTCTTCCCATTAAAAAATTAACTTACAGAATTAGGTAAAAAATGATTTAAAATTATTAATCTTGGAACAAGAATGGTAACATATATCTTTAATATTTGGATAGTCTTACAGTATTATTTATTCTAATGCCTTTATACTATTTTAAAACTTAGGCAGCGTTGAGTAACATTGTATTTCTTACGTTTTATTAACTGCAAAGAAGTTAAGTGTTACAATAGCAGAATTTTCACAGAAATATTTTTCTATCGAATGTCCAGTGTGAGATTTAGTAAATGTCTGAAGACATAATAATGGCTGCTAATCACAAATTTTATAAATATCTGTTCGGCAAGTGTAGAGATCTTTCATATCTATTATAAGTTTGTACTTAAACTGAACAAAATTCCAAAAATTTTCAAGAATAGTTTAAAATGCGTTCTCTTTTTCATGCCCACAGTTATAGTACTCTACCTTCTTCTCTCCATGTCATGTGGATCAATGCCAGGTAAACTGATAGTGATTCCTGATGGGGCTGCCATATCAAATTTGCGAACAGTGTGGCGGCAGATACCAATTCGGACAAGAAATCCATGTACTGTGTTGCCTAGCACAGCAATAGGAGGCTGTAGAACATTAGGGAACAAACTGAAACAAAGTGAATATAAAATAAACTGTAGTTGGCGCTGACTTTTTTCCAGTTACTTCCATTAATTTACATACATAATGAACACATTTACATGTTTATGCCAAACTGAATTTCATGAACAACATTTAGCATTGTGGAAGAAATTATCTTCTTCAAAATCTCTTAAGTAAATGTATTTGTTGAGTTCAGTTGACGATATTTTACTACATAACACTTTCTCTTTTGGATGAGTTTTCAGGTTGGCACCATTTTAACAAATTAATATCAAGGTACCTGAACTGTAACTATGAAAATGTTTGATGCAGTGCTAATAAGTACTACAGTATCAAATGCTGTAAAACAGAAATGAGAAATGAACATGACAAATAAAAGAATTGGTGTCACACCTAGCAAATGTAAAGTTGTCTGCCATATCACCTCTTGTTCCATTACTGTGGTACTGATAGAACCTCAAGTAGGTCCAGCTGATTAATAATCCTGACAGAAACATTGTTGGATACGTTCCTTCCAGCAGACCAACCAACCAAAAGATAAGTGACATGAAGAACACACTTAATGGAATATTTCTGTTCGTTAGTTTACCCAGAGGAGTTTTGACAATCATGTGATCTGGCATTATTTGTTTCACTGCTACAGAAACACCAGCAATGTAACCGGCTAAACCATGAATGTGTACAGTGAATAAAAGATCTGTATTGAATGTACACATGTACAAAATTAGGTAGAAAAACGCACTAAGTATAGCAACACCCATGTTGACAATTGCAAAAAATGTCATCATTTCTAATGCCCCCCACAATGGTTCAATGAGTTTTCCGCACAAACCAACTGTTACGACATCCACACATACTTCCCAAAAATGAATTTCAAGAAAGCAATACGTAAAAGCAGTCCAAATCCAAAATACAGGTGGCAACAGATAACCTGGCGTTACACTTAATACACGGACTGCCTCGTCTGAGAAAGACAGAAAGTAACTACATAGTACTACAATACAAATAAATTTCACAGATGCACTAGTATTTCCTAATAATGCAAGGAATTGTTGTCTAATGAAAGGGATATTCTTGCTAAATCCCCTAACCGAAGCCATTTTTAACTAACATGGCAACTTGGAATGAATGACAATATTATTGCTACCAACTGAGGAGGTATGAAAAATTTTCCAGTCACATCTTACATATGCGCGGGGATAGTTATTTTCGTCTACTATACTTGCAAATTTTGAATGCTTGGAACGGCATTTCTGTGTCTGTGACGATCTTTGTAAGTGAAGTCCAAACACCTAGCCGAGCTGCGTCTTTATTATAGTTGTTCTTGTTAAAGCTGAATTTGTGTAATATGCGCGAGTTAAATGGGTGAACCAGTTTTATCGTTTTATTCACTTTGTATGTGTATTTTCTTTTATTAAGACATCTTGCGTTCTTAGAAATCTATTTCACCCTTCTCATCCACGAAACTTTCTACGATTTCTAGGGATGATAATATTTATATCCACTTTTCCCAACAATTCGTGATGTCATATTATACTGTTTGTTCATAGACACGGTTCTTTTATGGGAAATGTCATACTTGTCATAAGTTGACTGTATTCTTCTTTTTTTTAAAATATTCTGATACATACCATTTCTACTTGTAACAAGGAGTTCTGTTGATAACAAGCGCCCATTAGGTGAAAAATTTGTTTTTATTACTATCTGCAGAATCTTGAAATTAGATTAAGTTATTGATTATGTTATAGAAACTTTGTAGTTACTATGTTTACCTACAAAATATTTTTTCATAGTTGCTGTTGTGATGGATTGAGAACAGGAGTAAGCCAGTAGCTAGATTAAAACTAGCAGTCACTGGCTTGAAATCAACCATGTCTGGAACAGAAGGAAGTGTGTCGCTGGATCAACATTTGTTCCAGCTGACATGCCTTGTCTCAGCCAAAGACATACAGCTTTCGGCTCGAAGCGAAGTTGGAAGTAGACAGTTGCTTGCTCTGGTCATGGGGTAAGTAGAACTGGAAACAAGTATATTTAACCTATATTGTCTGTGCATTGAGATTTTCCACAATTCAGTTCACCATGTATTGCATTTACATACTGCTAAGCCATTAACCAAAGATTTACAGTCTGGCCCTGTTATACAGTATGGTTTAGCAGAAGGCTTTGAGGTGATGAGTTTCAACTGCTTCTTTCATGGTGCAGCAGCCGAGTTGTTAGTGCGTATTACAGCTTTACCAAAGCTCTTTTAACTGTCTTCTTCACGGTACCTAACAGGCCTTCCAAGCTACCTTGTCAGTACCAGAAACTATATTTTTACCTTACTTTATCTTATCTCCTACTTTAGATGCCCTCTATCATAACAGAGGGCATGGGGTCGAATCTTATGATACTGAAGATATCGAATAAATGATGTTTGAGGAGAATTTGTGTCTCTTCTCAGTTTTGGAATGTTAATGGTTAAATAATATTTCTTATAATTTTATTTGTGTGTTTCTCATTTTAGTTCTGGTGATATAGTCTTTTATTATTTGTCGGGAGAGACAGATCAACTGCCTGTTATGAGGCAGGTGCCGTGGTTTGTCGACAGCAGCAAGAGAATAACAGCATTATGTTTTGATCCTTCAGGTTCTTGGCTTTTAATTACTGGTGAGTTAAAGGTTTTGTTGTTTTTGTATTTGTAATTTTTATGTTATAAAATATTTGTCTGATCAATATTACCATTTTTATGGATTTTGTTTTTTTAAAAATTCTAAAATAAGACTGCTTTGTTTTTGGAACTGGCTGTGCTCCCATCTTGAGGTGGATGAAGTCCATAAGAATAATATTATTGAATGTATTGTACCATTCGTGGAGTTACATTTGTCTGATATTTTCCTAAATGAAAATAAGTTATATATTCTTCTGTGATGCATTATTAGTGGCTAAAAATTTGCTGGTATTCATGTTACCAATCGAAAACTCTTATTTTAAGGAAGCCTTTTTTTTCTCTAAATCAAATTTATAGTACAGATTCTGTTAGTTACAATCTGTATATTATATATTTCATCCAATTAAATTTCCAGGTGATGATGGCTCAATTTTTATTGTGCCGGCACTCGCACTAGTTGACCCAAATGCCGTGTTAGATCGTCGATGGTCTACTACTGATGTAACGTCTTTTCCATCTCCATTATCACATCATAATCCATCTTCAAATTCATGCAGCACAAATATTCAGTGTTCTCACGCCACATCAGTAGTATGGTGGCAGAGTCTCTTGGAGTGTCATCATGTGGCCATCATGGGAACGGACTCTGGAGATTTAATTTTTGTTAGTTTAACCACGGGGCTTCAAGTTGGTATCACTTTTGTTCGAGCGTCTGTATCAGTGTTACATATCTGCCAGGATAATAACCTAGATTCTGTTTTCCTCTTGGTAAGTTAATATTTATTGAATATCTAGTTATGTTTTGTCTTTCATAATAAAGAAACTGCCTTCTCGTCTAGTTAGTTAGTTAGTCACGTTAAGAACTCATGTTGTCTCACCTGAGAAATTTCATAATCAAATTGTAAGCCCAATTTTGAGCGGAAGTATAAAAGGGGGAAGTCTAATTTATATGCTCGGTGGAATATTGAAGAGTCTTTAAGCATAATTGCTCTCCTGCAAACGCCTATTCATTTCTTCCACCATTTAGATTACAAGCGACAACAGGTCACAGTGGAAACTATTGCTGGAACAACGAGCAACAGGCTACGCTTGGCCTATTGATAGTTCGGGTTCTGCGGTTAAGGTCGTCACGTCTAACAATGAACCCAACTCCAGCAGTAATGCCAATGGGGGTGAGTTCAGCATATTACGTTTAATATTTGGTACTGAATTTGTTTTTGTGCCTGGATTAATTCTGAGACTGAGTTTCTTTTTGTACGTTGGTACATGACAGGGATAAAAAGATTTAAATGTGGCATGTGATTCGTCCTTCTCAGATCTGGAGTATGGGAACAAAAGTTGTTCGTATTTACCTACGACAAGATCAAGACTGCAGGGTTTGAAACAGTTTTCCGTTGAGAAGTTGACGAGTTTACGACAGAGGTTGGCAGAAACGAGGTCAAAAGGAGCTTCGGCGATGGCAGTAAATATACATTTTCGAAGAGGTAGATATTTTCTGTAAGATTTACGTTTAGCATTGCAGATTTATTCTGACAATAACCTTTTAAAATATTTTCGTATGTTTTCAAAGTTTTAAATAAGTTACAAAATTGGTATTTACGTGTTTTACGGTCTCTAAGATTTGCAAAATTGATTTAAACAGTGTTCTGGTTTTTGTGGCCACTAGAGAGCAGTGGGAGCAGTAATGATGATACCACATGTTCTGTGTCCGTGTCTGGCAAATCTGATTCGGAAGGCTTAGATTTGCCGCCTATACACCATGTTACCACTGGACCTCAGCCCGAGAAATTAAGTTCTGAAGTTGGTGACACATTTCTGTGCCCTCAGTATGCGAGAGGACGACATCTTCTTTCTGGGTATTATGCACCTAACGATATTCTTTCAGTAAGTATCACTGTGTTAAAATACATTAATTCTTTATTATTTTTACAGATTGGATTTTTAGATACTTACTTACTTAGGATACTTAGGCGACCCGTTCTTCAGTGCCTTGAGTATCTGTGCGTCCCAACATTTGTTGGCTCAATCTATAGACACTCGGTAGGACTCCTCGGACGAGGGATCAGCCCGTCGCGAGGCCTCTACCTGTACACAGGACAGCACAACACAGAAAAACGCGGACAGACATCTGTGGCTTGAGTGAGATTCGAACCCACAGTCCCAGCAGCATGAGGCCCACGCCTCAGACCGCGCGGCCACTGTGACAGCTGATTTTTGGATATTCTGTATTAAGTTTTGTAGATGCATTTAGTTATCATTTTATGATAAGAGTTTTAGTTATGCGTTCTTTTCTTGTTTTAAAGATCCATGGGATGAGTTTGGATGTTGTACCTCTGTATGTTTACAAGTTGGCACAACAGTGCAGAGATGTTCTGGTTACGGACAGATTTTTATATGTGACTGACATAGATGGAAAGAATTTATCGGTTGTGTCATGTCAGCTGTCTGAATGTCGGATCGGTGGTGATTCGGTAAGTAACTCCCACGTTATATTTTATTATCTGTGCATAAACTTGTTTTGTGGGAAATATACGTTCATTTGAAGTTTTTCGATAGTGACAATTCGTTAAATGATGATTCATTTCCTATTAATTGGAATTTAGTAATTACATAAACAGTGATCCGAGGTAACAATTCATATAATATTTATTTGATTACGAGACAAAGATTCTTTTACTCTTCTTTATTATGTAATGAAGAGTGATCTTAGATTTGCAAATTAAGGAAAATGGATATGTAAAAGTATAAATGCTATTCAGCGGTATTTTGTCAAATAAAATGCGGAGATCTTAAAATTATTTCACTTGTCTAGTATCATATTGATGTTTAGATATTTTACAAGCAGTAAGTATTTAATTTTGTTGAAATTGAAGTATCACTTATAATATAAGAAATTCTTATGCGTTATTTACCAAAAAGATGTCTACACACTTTTAATGAATGAAGTAAATATTTTTTTAATAAACTAAAGTATTATCTATGATCTTTAGCTTTGTGGCACAGCTGACAGTGGTGAATAACAGATATGATGTGTTTACATCTTTTTTTGAGTCGTGCTGTATTTTTCAGTTGAAACTTATTATTTTCCTTGGAAGAAAAAATGTCAGGGGGGCAAAATATTAAATTTTACTTATGAAATTAAACAGTAATCAATTAAATATAATATTTGTTGATATTTTAATCTAATGTGATGAAATACCATAATTATTGGCAAGAGTAAAGGTTACATCGAAACATTTAACTATCTTTACACGGGGAGAAATTTATATTTAAATTTTTTTACAAATGAACCAACTGTAGTACGCACATTTTAAAGGGTGTATATCTTTTTTTAAGGCCTTCAATCCAGACTCTGTTATTGAAACATTTGAAATGAAGGGTACAAGTGAGAAAATCCTTTCTCTCTATAAACAAAGTTACTTTAATGAAGATATTAAGAAATTGGCTGGAGTTTCCAGCAAACAATCATCAGTAGCTGGAAATAAAGATTCTAGTCCACAAGTTTCATTCAATGTGAAGAGTCGAGGTAGCAGCAGGGAGAAGGAGAAAAATCCATCACTGCAGGCTCCTTTCTGTCTGCCGAAGTGTGTGAAGGAATTGAAATTGGACATTCCTTCCATTGATACTTGTGTCATCGTGACGACGACTGGTGTTTATGAGCTTACTCTAAGGTGAGAGTTCTAGTTTATACCTTATCAACTTCACTGTTTATAGACCATGACTGCCCTCCTCCAGTTACTTACGATGCTTTCTTGTATCGATTGAAATACAGTAGATTCCGGTTAATTGGGCTGTCGGTTAATCGGGGCAGCCGTTTATTTGGGACAAATCTTAAAGAACAAACCTTTTTTAACTCTTTACGCGGAACTTTGCATATTTGGGGCAGCCGCTTAATTGCTAAAAAAGTGTCGTTCATGTTCTTAATGAAAGGTTGAATTTTAATGATGTCTGTGTTATTTGGTGGTGAGGTGACAAACCATATAATACTTCACTACAGAACCATCACCAGCTGTCCATGATCTTTGTGGTTTTGGTTACGCACTTAAAGTTAATGTTGTGAAGTCAAGAAATATGAGATTAGTAGCCCATGTAGAATGCAGAGGAAAAACAAAAATTGCACTTACAATTTTGTTTGTAATACTCACATGAGAAGCGAAGAAGGTTTTACATTAATGTGAGGGAAATATTGCACAAATCTTAGAAGAAAATGTTATGAAGATGCGTATTATATTAAAGTGTTCAGAATTAGACCCTTTCATTATATCATAAAGTTAATATATATTTTTGTTTCAGGGTTTCTCCAGTGGAGATATTCATGGATCTTGTACTGAAGCATCAGGCGATAGAAAAGGCTGAAAGACTTGCATTAGTTTTTGGATTAAATCTCCAACAGCTTCTCGAGTCTGCCGGTGATCTTAAACTAAGTGCAAAAGAATTTCCTCAGGCTATTGCTTTATACAAACTTTCCAGGGTATGTTAAGAAATCTAAAGTAAAAGGTTATTTTATAATAAGATATAAATAATGTTAGGAATGACCTTTGTGTTTAGTTTGAAATATTAATCTTACAATTTAAAGAAAGGGGTCAGTATGTCACCCTTCATCTGTGCATCAGAAAATTGCTGTTACTTAACATCCATGCTCTTGAAATTACAGTAGGGAGTCAAACGTACCTACCGAATTAATAAATCTACGGCTTAACCGTGTTCTGTATTACATGTACTTAATTAAATGTATTTATAACTTGCTTAAGCTCAGTGATAACCGTTGGTTAACATCGACCAGACTACACAGCGCAATAACCCAGAAGACAGAAATCTTCAACCATAAATCCACCACTCAAATATTCAATAATGCTGCATTTTGTCAACATAATGTGTTTATTAGCTCCATATGATTCTTAAAATAAACAGAAATTGTTTCTTTAAACAGCATTAACCAATTATTGTTTGTAGCGGAGAATTGTGGTGTTTTCTTTGCGTTAAGAACTGTAATGGCATATTTTTAAAGAGACTGAGGAAAGCCACATAAACCTATGTCAGAATAATTGTTGTACTGATGACAATTCAGGCAGAATATCTCATAGTTGTGTGTCAGCCATACAATAGCTTGAATCTCCTTGCTCTATTTTATTACTGATAATTTATTATTGCTGCTTGTTTATAGTGTCGTCACTTGAAGAGTGTCTTGAAATTTGCCGCGGCTGGTCACGCAGCAGAGTTGCTTAGCTACATCACATTATTGTTTTCAACTTCCGGCCTCGATCTTACAACGTCCGAGAGAATTCATTTATCCAATCTCGCTGTTATGAGCCACACTGAACAAGTCCTGAGAGCAACTACAGGGAGAGTCATGCTGTTAAAACAATTTTTGTGAGTTACATTAATTAATACAGTGTAAGTGTGACGTTATGATGCTGTCTTGTAGGTGGTTACCAACATTTCAGAGAAATGTATTGTCTGTGTCTTTTCTTCACCCAGAAGACAGATGATAATTATCCTCTGAAACGTTTGTTAAATGTCAGGAGGAAACTTGTTTAGTGGAATCAACATTTTACATTTCTTGATTGCATCTTAGTTTTCAAATACATTGGCCACCAGATAAACATTAACCTGTTGACGCGGAAAATTTAAATACCCAGCATATACCGCTGTTGTGCTGTTCCGGCGGTAGTATTTTTTAAATGTCCATTTAAATTTTGCTGTAAAATACTTTTTTCCATAACTTTTGAAGTATATGAGATATAATTATGAATTTTTCACTGAAATCCTCTTAAAAGATGGTTTTGTAATCTTACCTTATAAGATGAGCTCTCGTGTGTGACCAATGGGAGCAAATGGATCATAAGTTGAGAACGGAGTGTACAGCAGCCGGTTCTTTGCATAATAAGATCTGATTGTAGGCTTTTGAACAATGCCCATCAACATAAATAGAGCCAAAACCACGTAAATTTCGTCTACTGTGACATCTTGCCACTTCCTAATCCTAGATCGAAATGTGAGAGGATGGGCACTTTTAGAAATTTCTTGCTTAGCATATCTGTTGGTTTCATCTACAATGAGCTGCACAAGAGCTGTATCGAAAATGTTTTCGAATGAACTCACGACATCTAGTTCAGCCGTGTCGAACCGAGGACCATATACATTACAAAATGCTTCTCTTGAAGCAGGAAATGAGTCAATATTTTCCCACATATACTTGCCGGAAACAATACCTGAATTTGCTTCTACAATTCCTTCATGGCTTTCGCCACCACCATTGTCACTCTCATTATCACTAATCGCTAACGTTCCCGGTGTCACCAACTGTGTATAGTCAAAGTCTACACTCTCAGTGTCCGAGCTACTATAATTGTCAATTTCATCGTCCAATAATTCGTCTAGAAGTGATATTTGTTCAGCATCAGATAACACACCACTGCTTGAAGGGTTCTCCATTGTAAAACTGAGGCCAGTCGTCTATTTTTAGACTCCCAGGTAGTCGTTCAAGGGATTGTCAACAAGGTTGCCGGATCTTTGCGCTGGCATTAATCGTTACAAAGTTATGAGCTGAAGAAATTAGGCTTAAAGCCGGGCGTAATATTACGCCCAGCCGCAATCCCGAGCATTTAAATGCCGGACGTAATTTTACGCATCTCCCCGGTGAGGAGTTAAGGTGTGTTTCGCCACATGAACTAAAACAAGGCATTAGTATATTCTCTGTCAATCCTTGTCTTTAGTATTTGCTATTAGGGAAGTCTAAGAGTATCAGGAGGGGAATTGAAACTGAACTGAAGTGTTAGAACACCCACCACTAAATTTTGTGTTTCAAGGTCACAGAAAAAATCATGTAACATTGCAACACAAATGGGCCAGCCTGGGCTAGTGAAGATAATTATAAACTAGCAACTCTGGGCCGGTGACTTAGAGCCATGCAAGGGGGTGAAATCCTCTGTGGCCCTGAGGCATGAAATTTTATGATGGCCGCTATAATATTAATTAAAAGAACGATGTGTAAAGACATTACAAAGAAATATGTTTGGGGATAGAATTGGTATTCGTTTTATCATCGCATATCTGTTTTTGGAAAACTTTCCTGCTGTGGTTCTTTATTTCGCTTCCATATCTTATTCCGTAGTCTTACTTATTACTCATAATTGATTTCAGGTTGGGCAGTACATCGTTAAGTAACATAGTTTGTTGCCAACCAGATAAATTAAAGTTGTTTGTGAAGATGGCTGTCTTCTGGCTGAACTTCTACCAGACTACATGGCGCAACAACCCAGAAGACAGCCATCTTCAGACTCACCGCCATGAAAACCTCAAATCCTACAAAGTTGTTTGTGTTTTGGAATTAATGGATTTCCTTTATTTTACCAAAAACATCTGTCTCTTACTCTAAGCAGATATTAATGTGTTGTGTATTCGGTCACAGGAAATTTCTGCGTGAAAACTTGTACTATGACGAAGTGCTGGCTGTTAACGTGGCTGGACAAACGGGATTATGGGAAGTCCTGCAATTCCTGGCTTGCTTCCGTGGCCTTCATCCTGAAGTTCTAGATATCCTTACAAAAATTGTCAGGTCTCTTGGTGAAGGTCTTGTAAAGGCACTTGAGAACAAGATCACAACTTTCAAGCATTTACCTGCCTTAGACTGTAAGTTATATAACTTAAAATATTGTTTTTAGTAACTATCGAAGTCAGGAAAGTCATAATTTCATTTGTCTCATAAGCACTGTATAATATTTCTGCATGTTCTTTGCACATGTATCACATTATGGGGAGATTATGTCTTCCTCTGTACACTTTACGTGTTTGAGACTACTAAACAGATTTTTATGAAATCTAGTGTCAAATGTGTGCGCTGAAAGTTATTACACATGTTTAATTTTTGTTTGTTTGTAATGGTCAATGTAACCTTTACGTTTTATGAAACTTAAACGATCTAATTAAAAAACATTTCATCGTATAAAAATTAGTACATTGTATAAAATATAGAATTAATTAGATTTACAACTTTTATTTGAAATGTTATAGTTAGTAAACTACCTTTATTACGAGACCAACCATCTGCTCGTGTACAAAAACAGAGAATACATTTGAAAATATAATTTTACTCTTCCATATATCTCTGTGGCATGGTGCTCATTCAAGTGCTGGGCAGACAGCATTACCTTTGTATAGTCGATGTCTGAGTAACGTCTTTCTGTTCTTGTATTCTTTGGACTTCCGCTCAATTGTATGTTTTTACAGCTAGCCTGTGGTTGTGTGTGAGTGACCCATCACTACTACAGTCACTCTTGTCTAAACCCCAGCAAGCTAGAATACATCTGCAGTTTGTCCGTACTTGCTTACCACATTTAGAACAGTTTGCATTACAGGTAAATATAACACTGTATAATCGGTATCCAATAAAGTGTTTTAACACTAGTTGTAGTATGAAAAAGTTACAGCTCAAAATACTCAACTGACGAAAGTCAGCAGTTGTGAATTTGGAATCTGAATAGTTTTGGTTGTTGAAAAATTGTTAACTCCTTTTCTTCTTCTTCTTCTTCTATGGCTCTCCAGTCCGTATTCGGTCCATGGCCTCCTCAATTCTCCTCTTCCATTTGGTCCTCTGTTAGGTCCGTCTGTCCGAGGCTTTGATTGGGGTTTCGAAACATCTTCCTTTTTACGGTACAAGGTTGTTAGCCTTGCGACCAACCCCTAACCTGGAGGACCAGTGTACCTGTCTTAGTCTGACCTCTCCCCCTCGACCAATCTGGCTAGGGAGGCCCTACCAGTAGCTATGCTACCGCCAGCACAGCAAGTTAACTCCTTTTAGACTTTATATTTGTTTGGACTTTTTCCATCGTCCTTGTTTAAATGAAGAAACCACATTTCCAAAACAGGCTCTGCTTCCGTCTTCAGGCGAGACGTTCATACTTATTTGGGCCCATCAGATAGAGCTAGTCTCCGTCAGTGGGAAGATAAGAACAACTTTTTTCTCAGAAAATACAGCTGAGTAGGTACCTCTCGGCCAAAGACGGAAACAGAGCCAGTTTACGTGGTTTCTTTCTTTTAAGCAAAGATGATGGGAAAAGTCCAGGTGAAGAATAATTTTAAGTGTAATCTACCATCATCAGAACCTTCTCCTTCTAGAGTTTAATATTTTATTTCTCAAAATATAAATTGTGTACTCAGCTGGGAAACTTATATATTTGTTTGTGGTGTTATCAAAAAATTGCAACTTCCGTGGTTTTAACATTAATTTCTAATGGCAACAGTTACTCCTTTTATATTTAAGATGCTGTTGATACAGATGTAAATAATAAAATTATTTTATGATGTTTAATTTTAGTGTAGTTATATTTTTTAGTTACAGCATTTTAGTTGCGTCTCTTCTCTCTTTTTGTCAGAGGCTAGCTGCTCTGTATGACCCCTCATCACCGCAGTTAAGACCTACTTTGAGAAGAATGTTCAAGATAGGTCGCAGACGAGAACATTCAAGTGGATCCTTCGGTTCATACTCTGCACAAATGGATTCTTTAGATTTTCTGGACTCGGTGGTATGTTAATGAAAATGAAAATTATTATATTAACATATTCATATTTTACATTATTTGAAAAACATGTTTATCTACCTTTAATTTTTAAGCATTTTTAATTAGTTTATTTATATCAATGTTCTTTATGTACTTCAGGGTTTCTTTCCTCCCCAGCCCATCGAGCTGTATCAGACATACAAATAACTGCAGACTCGGTTAACAGATTAAATTATAAGACAGCTAACCTGTATAAAATCTGGGAATATTACATGAAATTACATTGCAGGGACAAAATGTATTCAAATTATAAGAATATTAAGGGACTAAAAAAAAACTATGAAAAACATATGTTCAAAGACTGTAAATATAAGGTATTGTTGTATTATGTATCATTATTTTGAGTTTTGTTATGTACAGTTCATAATAATAGTTATTATTTTCCAACATCATGTTGAAACAGTACTGGACTTTAATCCCAATCAGATCAATGACTTTATAAAAGTGTTAATAGGATAATGCTGAAGAAGTATATTAAAATATATGATTTGTAAACTATGCATGTGAGAAAGTGTGTAAAATAAACTAAGTATCTATAATGTTTTTTTGTTTTGTTTTAGGATGAAATATTCGTTCCTGGCGAAGATATTGTTCAGATGTTCCTTTTAGTTCTCCTGTACTTAGCAAAAAAGAGCCAAGTATCATCTTTTGTGTTTGTCCCAGAACTGATGGAGAAAATCCAGCTTGCCGAAGATGATGAGGTACTTCTAACTGGTTTATGTATTTTGAGATACAGCACTTCACTGTTTTCTGCTTAACCTTTTGAACCTGAAGCTCATAAAAATACTTAAAAATTCAGTTCTTACCTCATAGAGAACAGCGTGTCTCTGTTACCAGGATCAATTTTTCAAGAAAATAATCGCTGTTTATTCTGAGAATTATATGAAACTCTTAAATATCCTAATAAAAACCCTCTTTAGGCAAAATTCAAGATTACTGATTGCTAAAGTTGTTGGTACGTGTAATTACTACTGCTTTTTAAAGGATTACGTCGAATGAAAATTGGCTGTGTGATTATTATAATGGTTTGATTATTGATTTATTGAAGGTTAAAGCTATAACAGTTTGGACTTTTAAGTGAAATTTTGTGTGAAGGTAAATCATAAAACATGTTTACCAGTTTCGTGTCGAACATTTTTGTTTTGACAACCAATATGGTGACTTTGTTATACATGATAACTTCAATACAGTCTAGTGCAGGAGCGCTCAACCTTTTTCGCTGGCGTACCACTAATTCTAATTTAACGCATTAAATGTACCACTAATCGAATGCGTTCAGGGACAAGTATTATTTATGTTAGTATCAACTTTTGATTTTCTTACTTAGTTCACGTACCACTCGACATTGGCTCGTGTACCACCAGTGGTTCGCGTACCATAGGTCGAGAAACGTTGGTCTAGCGGAAATTATGCACAAGAATGGATAATTGAATTGTGTTTTAAATTATGAAGTGTTTCATTTCCTCGCAATAGAGATCGAAACATTTAAATGGAGGGAATTATCATGAGTTCTTCCTAGAATGTCTTGTTTTTTGTTAACATTGTTATATTTTAACCATTTTTAGGTGAATTTTTAAAGTACTACAGTATTTATGGAATGTTTTTCAGGATTCTGACCATCTGTGTCCGTCTCTACCAGTGCGTGCCAACACGCTAAGCGCGGGTTTCTCTCACGTGGCACTTATCCGCAATGGAGCCATCTACACTTGGGGTAATACCGCGCAGGGTTGCCTTGGTATGTAAATATTTTGTTTTCCCTGTTAGTCACTGTCTTGTAACATTTAATTTTTGCATACAGCTGTATTTTCTGTATCCAAGAATAATTTCTTATACAAAAATTTGTCGTTTTACTACAGAAGAGAAATCCATATTTGCCATTAAATTGTATGTGATGATTAAAACGTTCATTACAGTGTTTGTTTTGTAACTAGGTACTGGACCAACGATGTCTAGGCACAGCTGTCCACAGCAGATCAGCTTATTTCCAGATTTGAAACTTGAGGTAATCAGTGTCTCTTGTGGTCGTCAACATACACTGTCTCTTACAAACAATGGGGTAAGTGATCGTCTTTAAATTTCGTATTTAACCGCTGTCTTTTGAGTTCATTTTTAATGATAAAACTGAAAGTATCAAATTTTTTCTATGTAATTTAGGAACATTTCTTTGATGAATGTTGTAACTACCCCCGTGCTTAAAGAAGAAGTTCTAGAATGTATGGTGCCTTATTATCTTATTTAAATATCTGTGTCGGTAGAGAGGCTAACGAGAACTATAAATTAACAGGTTTGGAGTACATTGAAATTCCAAAGTTTTTTTATCATGCCACGTCACAGGCTCAGACATCAGCAAGGCAACCAAACGAATTACAGATGCTACAATTGTGTCGTACATCACTGTTACACTGATGTAATTAAGGCCATTTTTGAATCTTCAGTTTTAATGAAAATTGGATAATTTCTTCAATAGCTGAGTATCTTTTTAGGTACTCATGGACTCTGCTTCATGGAGTTTCTTAGTTCGTTAAGAAATTGGGTAGTAAATGATAACTGGATATTGGGATACTGGGAACGACCTGTTCTTCAAGTGCCTGAGCACTGCGGGTCCCAACTTTTTGTTGGCTCGATCTATAGACATTCGGTAGGACTCCTTGGACGAGGGATCGGCCCGTCGCAAGGCCTCTACCTGTACACAGGAGAGCACAACACAGAAAAACCCGAATATCCACGGCTTGAGTGGGATTCGAACCCACGGTCCCAGCGACCAAGCGGTACAAGGCCCACGCCTCAGACCACGCGGCCACTGCAGACCCCAGTAAATGATAACACTTTTATATAATGAAAACTTTCATTATGAAGATATTTATTGAATCATTTATTGTTTGCGATAAGCATGGAACATGATCTGAGTCCGTTTTAAGTATCATATTTTGAACAAATTTAAAAAATTTGCTACTAAAAATAATGCAGTTGTCGAAATATATTTACAATTTGATTGTTTATTTCTCTCTTTTCAGATCTATGCATGGGGGTCATCTCAGTTTGGACAGCTTGGTATTGGAAAGACAGGTCAGTGCCCATATCCTCAGCTGGTGGAACATCTGTCGAGAGAGCACATAATTGCTGTATCTGCTGGACAGTATCATTCTATTGCCTTAGCAGACGATGGCAGGTCAGTAACACGTTCCTCCGAACAACATTACGCTTTCCTTCGGCATCCGTCTCAGTTTGTCATTAAAATGATGCCGTTAGTAAGAAAGTTGTTAGTGAGTGGTGTATTTTTACAGGGTGTTTACGTGGGGATGGGGTGTGCATGGACAGCTGGGACATTGTTCAGTAGAAGACTGCCATATGCCGACTCTCGTGGAAAGACTGATAGGCAAGGTGAGTTGCTTCTTCCTCTACTATGGCTCTGGTCCATATTCGGTCCATGGCCTCCTCAATTCTCCTCATCCATTCGGTCCTCTGTTAGGTCCGTCTGTCCGAGGCTTTGATCGAGGTTTCGAAACATCTTCCTTTTTACGGCGCAAGGTTGTTAGCCTTGCGACCAACCCCCAACCTGGAGGACCAGGGTACCTGTCTTAGTCTGACCTCTCCCCCTCGACCAATCTGGCTAGGGAGGCCTTACCAGTAGCTCTTGGGGTCACTGAGGTACTCAAGCCCCACCACCACAACAAGGTGCAGGTACCATTAAGTGAGGGGTGAGTTGCTACGGGAGTATTTTATTAGATCATTTTCAGCCGTGCAAATACGGAGGAAATGTATGTCATACTTCAAGTTGTAATGCACATGATCTGAGGTATCGAGAGCTCATAAAATAAAACATGTTAATAAATTGATCTTGTTGTAGGTGGTGACTCAGGTACACGGAGGACATGGTCACACTCTAGCTCTTACTGCTGAAGGTCACGTGTATACATTTGGTTCGTCTGTTTTTGGTCAACTCGGAAATGGAAGCACCGTGAAGAGCTCCGTGCCAGTTCGTGTGACTGCGCTAACTGAAAGGATCACTATTATTGCCACTAACTACTTTCACAATGTGAGTATCGGAAGTGATTTATTTGGAAAATTTGATTAGAAACCTGATGGAGATCACTGGAGATCCGGGTTTAGTAGAAATCTGCTAGTCCTGATGTTGAAATTAGCTTTGCTGCTGTGATCGAAGTCAAAGCCGTCTAATGCGTGGCGGAAATGTTTGCATGATTTTAAGTCCTTTTACAAATGTTTTAAAACCAGCCACTCTCATTATCTGTAATACCTGTTAACGCATTGTGCCTTCCTGTTTATTTGAATGTTCCTAATTTTGACGACAATAGTTCACAGTAAAATAATCTAAATTTATAAAGTAACATTAAACGTGGATGATAGAGAACAAGAACTAAAAGTGACTTTGACTCTTGAATTACCATTCATATTTTAATTTTTAATAAATTTTGCAATTCAAATTGTATTTTAAGTTCAATTTTATTTCACAAGGTATATGCATTATATTGAATTTTGCGTTGTAATTTGTTCAACTACCATACTTACAATTGTTCCTTTACTTGCAGCTTGCTGTAAGTAGTACCAACAAACTATATATGTGGGGGGCTTCTCCCCAAGTCCTGCGACTTCAAGCACAGGCCCAGAAGAAAGCAAAGCTTCAGCAGCAGCACTTACCATCCGGCACAACTACATCCATTGTTACCCCATCATCCCCTTCAAGGCCTGCAACTGCACATGTACATTCTACATCGGGAATTAATTCAGAAATTCCTGGTCTGCTATTAGAATCCCCAGATTTACCCACCGCGGCTAAACCTGAATATATTGATAAGGATCGTCGTCATAACCTCAAGCCAGCGTCGAGTTCTTGTGATTCTGAGTTGCCTTCAGTGGACGTATCTTGTTCTTTAAGTTCAAATGTCGTCAAGACCCAGGAAATTTCAGCTGAATCTAATGTAAATACAAAAGATTCCCTATCTAGTCATTCAGAACTTTCATCTCCTATACTAAATAATACAGACTCTTTAAATAATACCTCTTCTATGTCTGATTTTGCCATGAAGTCGTCTCAGTGCCATAACCTTTTATCAGAGAATGTTAGAACATTAGAAGTAAGTAATAACGAACATGTAAATATTCAGAAACAGTCTAGTCAGAGTAATCGTGATTTTCCAGTAGAAGACGGTGAAAGGATAGGTGAAGTACAGGCGACACACAGTGAGAAGAATGTGCAACAATCGCGGTCAAGTTTTCTTTGTGTAAACGAGAAGCAAGAAGAATTTCGGTCATCAAATGAGTCTGATAAAACTTCATCCATGCAGCCATCTACTTTTTTAAGTCAAGATTCCCCTGGAAGCGATGCGCGTCCCGTCTTGTCATTAGCGTCTTCGGATATTGAACATCATGGAAGTCCTAATGTAGATGCTTCACCTAAAAATTTGCAGTTCCGATGTAGTTCATTTACGTCGACGAGAAAGGATCAGAACTTAGATCTGAAGGTATGTTTTGTTTGCACTATTATAAAATTGATCATTTTCAGTCTGATATTACTACCGTAACTTCCTAAAACGTTACAAAATCCTGATTACGAATGTCTGGAAGGACTGTATGAGTTGATTGTGATGGTAGTTGCAGTAGTTCATATAAGTATTTTCTTCCCAAGGTTTAGTACAAAATATGTTTCTTCCGTATTCATAGTTTAGAGCAGTGGCCCCCAACCTTTTTGTGCCTACGGGCACATTTGAGAGTTTATGAGATCGTGGTGGGCACCAACCAATTAACAAAGCCAAATTTTCTTTTCTCTGGACAAATAAGATATGGACACCAAATAATACGCAAAACAACACGACGTTTAACGATACGAGAAACCATGCAATCAAAAATACGTAGTTTTAAAGTACAATTATTATTACTCAAGTGGGAAGTTAGTGTGATGTTTGGCGCTGCATTTCATCGGCCAGTTTTTCAAATTTTGGAGTGTAGGATGATGTTGCTGCTCGCGAACAATCGTCTAGATGGGCGTCAGCAAGTCGAGATCTGCGCTTTGATTTTATAATGTTTGTGGTTGAACGGCCTTCATTATTCAGTATAACGCGGGCACCCAAAAAAAGCCTTGGCGGGCACCGCGTTGGGGACCACTGGTATAGATTTTTGTTTTCCTGGTAGATGAAAGCAAAGATCTTTGAAATACATGATAAACTAGAGCTAGGATTTTTTTTTTGAATCTCAGATAATTATGTGTTGTAGAATTTGAAGTTTTCACGGCAATCAGTTTGAAGATGGTGGTCTTCTAGGTTGTTGCGCCATGTAGTCTGGTGTAGTCCGGTCTGTCGATACACGGCGCAACGACCAAGAAGACAGTTATCTTTTAATTGTGTGTTGTTTCTCTGGAGTACGTGTTTTAATTGTGTTTATTGTATTGAGATTGTGCTTGTTACATGTTATTAAAACAAAAATTAAACCAAGCATTATTTCTGGTCGTGCAGAAATGGATATGGCAGACGACTCTTGTTTGTATGTGCGTAAATTTTGTATTCCAATTTTAAGGTGAAGAACAAAGATTGATGGTGTTTCATATAGGGTGTTGAGGGACATATTTGGACCTAGGAGACAGAAAGTAACTGGAGGGTAACTTTTGTAATGAGAAGTTTCATAATTTGTAATCTTCTGCAGATATTAGCATGATCAAATAAAAGAAGATGAGATGTGTATGGTACGTGGTACACATTTGGATGATGAGAAATTTATACAAAATTGTAGTCAGAAAATATGAAAGGAGGAGACCTAGGCATAGATGGGAGAGTTATATGAAAATGGATCTTAGAGAAATTAATGATGATATGAACTTGGGATTTTTTTGACGTGTGATAGGGTGGGCTCTTGTATACGCAGCAAGGAATCGTTGGGTGTCATAAAAGGCGGGGAATGGCTTGACTTCTTAAGTGTATTCTCAAGAAGGACTCTTCTCCATAGAGTTAATGTGTCCATAATTTAAATCAGACAAGAAAATAATTATGTTGCCTTACATTAACAATTAACTATCACAATAAACAGTAGAAAGTTTTTGGTTACACTATAAGTATCAATCTGTTATTAACCATTTTCTGTAAAGTAGATTCTTGACTAAATATTTTCTATTATAAAGGAAATAATTTTTCTGTAAATTTTGTGTCCATCACAACAGATGTAAGTAGATGGAGACTATACATGGACGTTTTTATTCAAAATTTCAGCTTGTTTTGGACTAAATACTTGTTGTGTTACATTGAGTTTGTGCATTGCATTGTGTTGGGAGCTAACCTTAATTTTTATTAGAGTAGCTATGTCTGAATGGAGTAGTTTTACGTGTTTAACAGTCTTTTTCTGTAAACTGTCTTACTACGAAGGTGAAGCCAACATACCCACCACTTACAACCACCACAGCCGATGGTTACTCAATTACAGCATTAATTGTTAGTCCCTCTATGGAGTTCAAAGGTTTAACAGCTGGGCCATCTCTTCTTGATAGAAAATTTGTAAGTGACCTGTAATAAATTCCACTGTACATTTGGAAAATGTTTTACTTTAAATTTTGGGTTCATATATGAGTACGTTTGCCAGTGTTACGTAGCGTATGTGGCTGGGCAAGCGTTCTCACTCTTCAGGTCCACGACAGTAACTAAAGAAAAACAAAAGGCAAAGTCCGTAAAAAGTAATTATGTTCGGTGAAACAAGGTAGTCGTAACAGATCTCTCATTTTGTAACCCACTGATATTAATTGACACCACCTATAATAAAATTAACAAAAGGAAATATTACAAATAAGAACACAAGAAGATGAGTTTCAGGACAGGGCATTTGCACCAATTCCACACCAGTATGAGGCTGTAAAGATTGAACTTAATACAAAATTTTATAGATCTATGTAGAACTAATAATGTTCTGGCCCTTTTGGTTACATATCCTGACCACAGATTTGGATTCTGGAATTTCTACATTATACTAGTTGTGATTTTGGACCTGTATTGTGCTCTGAAAATCTGAATTATAGTTACTTTTTTTAAGATATTTAACTAAATATTGCACGATGTGTTTGCTAACTGAGTCGCAGTCCTTCATTTTATCGTTACTGTGCTTGTACTGTTGCGTACATTTTTAAAATTGGTAAAACACGATGGGTTGATGCATGGAGAACTAGCATGATCTTCAGACCTTCCAATGCATGAGACCAAATATTAAGTAACTTCTGGTTTAACAGTGACTGTAATATAGGGAGAATACTTTGCGGCTACAACGGAACATGGCCTCTTAACAGTGACTGTAATATAGGGAGAATGCTTTGCGGCTACATCGAAACATGGCCTTTCTGCTGTGCGCAAACAGTGCATTGATTACTGCAGATTATATTTATCAGTCAGAACAGCCGGTCTCCGGGCCAGGGTATGAACCCGGAACCTCCCAAGTACGAAGCAGGAGTGCTAACCACGAATTGTGAGTCAGCATTGATGAGAAGAGAAAATGTAACTCTGCTAGGAAGTCAAAGGAAATTCAGAAGAAAGTTTACCATTGTTTAAATTTCCAACAGAAATACTATTAATAGTTATGTCAGTTAAATGACAGTACCTGGCATGTTAATAGACAGAGAAAGTAAAATGTCGGTGAAAAGGGATTGTGAGTTACACTATAAAGTTATAGAAAATTAACTGGTATCTTCGGTTACTGGGGATATTTAAAAAGTAAAATCTATCAGGCCAATCCACACATGGAAGAACAAAGAAAACTGATTTATCCTAAATTGCCCCATATATACAGAGAACTAAAATGTCAGCCAGAATGTGCAGGGAGTGTATCTGAGCCAATGGAGAATATTCTTTTAATCTTCTGTAATGTATGTAAGTAAAATTCACTCTGCAATATTGCTGCAATCTGACTATCGCCACAGCTGGCCATTTACAAAAGGCATCAACCAATGCAGTGTTTATGCAGAGCAGGAAAAGTGTGTCGTGGTGTTGCTGCCAAATATCCCTCCTTTTAGTATACAATAGAAATTAGAGAAATAATAACTACATTGTAGTGTATGTAGGTATTACATGTACATTTTGGTAATGAATTAAAAATAGATCATAAATTTCTTGCATGAATGTTATCCTTTATATTCTTTGATACTCCCCTTTGTAAGCAATGAAATTAAAAGGTTACATATGAAAATTCAGAAATTTATAATTATTATAACTAAAAAAACTTATTGAACGCCAGAAGGTAAAATTGATATCCCATATGGTATTTGAATTCTCACATAAAATTTACAAGTTCCGTGTCTGAAACTTTTGAATTGTGTTTAATAATTTTCTGTTTATTTATTTCTTTATAGATGGAAGTATAATATTAAAATGTATATTGGAGAAATATGTATGTTGGGAAGTTGTTGCTTAGGTTAGGTTAGGACAAGATCCAGCATCATATGTAGGGTCATTTATTTTACTGTAGCTAACCAGTTTTTACCTCCTACAAGTTTCCTCTGATTAGGTTAGGTTCCCTCATAGGATAGTAGCCAATCACAGGCAATTCATCTTCCCCCATTTGCCATCAGAAGGTGACAGCACTGGAGGCCAAAAGAGATTCTTTTTATTATAACCTCTCTTTTATAATACTACATAAAATTTTGGATTGTTGTTTATTTTTTAATTAACCAGTTCTGTGACATCTTTAGGTTTCTTCTGATACAAAGTCAAACGCTCGGTCAACTAAGTCAGAGCTTATTGATGATGGACAATTACATCTTACACCTCAGCCTGTGGACACATCACTGGTGGTTGGTCGTATTGTTCAGGTAACTGACAAAAACTCATTACTGACAAAAATAAACTTGTAACATCGAAGATTAATCTAATATGCATATGTAATTGTGAACATTAAGAGTTTGGTAGAGAATAGACATTTTATTGTTTCGCATACACAAGCACGTTTTGCTGTTTCACATACACATGTTTTGAAACTCATTTTATTTCAGTCCACGAGTGTTATTATTTCGCGCATATTTTTTGTTTCACGCACATCTTAGTGTACAGTAGAGTCCCATAATCCGACCTTCGACAAATTTACGAAATGTAAAATAATATTTATGTTTTGTGAGATTTTTTAATATATGACGCCATATTGTATTTTCTTCGTAAGTAAATAATATCGTTGATGGAGCTACAAATTGAGTTGATATTTACCTGACATATTTTTTATTGGTCTTCGGTGTTATTTTCTATTATCCGACCGCCCTTCGGCCACGTTTAGGTAGATTAATGGAGACTTTATGGCTGGAGTGTCGTGCAAGGTGGATTTATGTTTAACCAACACGAGCTATAACTAATTTCTCCTCTCAACGTTTGCTATATAGAACTTCACAGTACCAAATTTAATCAAATTCCTTTCGGAGATTAAAAATTCAGACGGACAGAAATTCGTACAGTGTATTACAAAACAGAAAACAATAGAACAGTTTGAATGTAGCCTGTGTCGAAATATTCGCCAGCTAATTAAGTTCAAAGACAACACATTCTCGAAAAGGAGAGATGCAGTAATGCCTTGACGCTTAAACCGGGGAATTACAACTCGTAAAATGTTTATATTTAACGCACATTAACAACAGTTGCAATATTTTTTACTGAATACGTTCACGCGGATACTAGCAGGACTTGCTGAAAGCTGAGGCCGCATGAGTTTTCGTTCAATTTATTTACACGAGCTACATTTTAAAAACAAATTATCCACACCGCGCGCGAAATATATTCACACACACAGTGACCTCGGTATAGGAAGGAAAACTCATTAACGCAATTGTGTAATTGTAAAATGAAACAGCGTTTTTGAACATATGAAGCAGAAATAGGTCAGTGCCAGTACTCGGATAGCGCTTATCTAAACGTACTGCTCGGTGATGCCTGATTACGGTTGAAATAGCAAACCCGTAGGAGGGCGGTGTTCTGACTTGTTTTATGAAAAACGTGTAGTTTGGTAATTTGTTGAATATAAATCTATTTAATCCATGTTTTTAGTTCTTTCATGCATGCAGACGACAGCTGTTTTTCGACCGGGGTTTCTATAAAACACTATGAATGAAATAATGAAATTGCCGTCGTCTCATTATCCGACCTTCGGTTATCCGACATTCATTCCGTGTTATCTGATGTGTCGTGTCGGAACGCTCCATTTTGTCAACAGTCAACTCGGCTTGTGGCGGAATGAATCACACTCCCCCATTACGCTTCTTCTACATACTCTGTTGCTATAGTCGGCGCAGTAGAGAAGCTAGCGGAGCTGGCGGACGGGCCTAGTCTGTGTACCTGAGGTGGCACGGTTAGTGAATTTCTTTTGTTTGGGCGTTCAGTCCGATAAGCTCCTCGGTGCAGTCAGCATTATACTACCGCAAAAGAGACTCGCTCCTAGCCTTCCCCTTGAAAATTCCACCGGCCAAAAACTACTGCGCCGACTATACAGACGCTCTACTGTTCAGGCGCTGGCGTGACCTTGCCGCAAAGAAAAGGAAGGAGACTGAAGCAAATACCCATTACAAATTTCTTTCAAAATTAACCATGTCATTTACACATTTACATTATGTGAAATACTATTTTTTTATTTGATGCCGTATTGTATTTTGTTCGTAATTTAATAATATCGTAAATTGAGTTCATATTTACCCTCGTATTTTTAGTTTGTCTTACGTATATCCGACTTTTTCGATTATTCTAAAGTCTTTGGTTCAGTTTAGATAGGGTACTCGGGACTTGGCTGTCTGCATTTAGCATCTTTTGCTGTTCCTGTTGACCGCGTATTAATAATTCAAACATATCAGAAATCTCAGCACGATGTATTGACGTCTTATCTTGCAGTGTCAAGATTTTGAAAAGGAAATTTGTTACCAGGCACTATAATTTATAGTGAAAGATCAAAATATTACTAATATAGGCGTAAGAGTTTTTAAACATTGTTAATAACAACTGTAAAAGTTATAATCGGAGTCGGAAAATAGTTTTCACATGCGTTATTAGAACAAGAAGGATATTAATTTTGATGTTTGTGCTCTGCTGTTTCATTTTTTTTATCAGAAACTGATTTTTCAGAGGATAAAGTAGGTAGAGTATGTACATCAACATCCAGCACATAGTCCCTACATTATTTGTCGACAATTTGTATTTAGTTCTATTGTTTTTGGAGAAAAGTGTTCATAAAACGAAACATTTGTTATCTTAGACAAACACATGTTACTCAATACTTCACAGTCTGTGTTTTGAACAGTCCTATTAGGTTTCATTAAGGTCAGTAATCAAATGTATTTACGCGGATGGGCTGTTTGCTGCACTATATGTACGATCGAATTCCAGCCAAGGCAAATATTTTATCGCACCTTCAAATAAGTTGCAGATTATTATTAGAATGGTTTGTTTCCTTCTTGGGAGGAATGTCTAAAATTAATTAATTTGTTAATCTGACAAATTAGCCAAGTGCATGGAACAAAGTCCTCTTTGAGGAGCTTATAATATTCTCAAGTAGGCAAGAAATTCCTCGCCCATTATGGAACGTTGAGTTTTATTACCGTGCTTACGAGAGGAAGCCACTGATCATATCCTGAATCTTTTATTAAGTACCTTTTTTATGTGGCAGGTGATAGGAAGGAACAAGTTTTTACCTAATTACCGATTTTGTGGAACATGATCGGATACGTACCGTCACTGTGTTTTAATTGCTGATTTATGGGTAATACTTCATACAGAATTCTGTAGGTATGTTTACGATCTGTTGACATCCAAAATCCATGTGCCTTGCTCCAATGGTTAATTAGTTATCGACATTAAAGCGGAAGCTGAAATGCATATTTTATGTAGCTGTCATATTGTTGCACGTTCTCCTTAAAGTTGCATTAAAAAAAGCATATTGTCATTTCATGTTATTAAATTATGTGGTGCTCCCACTTCACAGATTTGTGCTTCAGTTATGTTGATGTTTTCGATTGTACGAAATTAGCCTGTTTTGTGCTTATCTTGCTGATAACGCACGAAAGACGAAGACTGTATTTACGATTATCGCCCTGATGATGGAGGCAGCAAGCACTTTTGAAACGTGGGCAAACTTCTAACAGATTACACGGCGCTACAACTCAGAGGACAGTCTTCTTCATACTCACCGCCTCGAGAACGTGATCATTATTTCGACACGGTGTTGACAGTCAAAATATGTTCCTTAATGATTAACATTGCTAGTAGGGTTCTAGATTCGTACTGACACTACTTGAGAAATGTTTTGCGACAGCTTCGTTATCTCCATGCATTTAGGAATTTAATGCCACGTTAAAATAGTCCCTCGATGATAATTAGATTGTAAGATATCAAAGCGAATATTTGACTTAATGAATAATGGCGGTTAGGGCAGACGAAGTGAAACGGATAACATCGTACGAAGGGAATTTGGAGTGGACCTAGTTTTAGTTGGTATGGACATTTATGTTTGACTTCTTACCTCGCACACCATTGGGCAATGTTAAAACTAAATCGTAGTAATGAGTCGTTCTTGAAGAATTAGAGCAGTGTGAGTCCTTCGATTTACTGATTTATAAAACAAAATGAACGATGTTATTTAGCTCAAGAAATACTACGTAAAAGTTTGCAGTGTAATTTATACTTTGTTGTCATTGTATCGATTTTAAATCCACCTTTCGGTGGCGTTGGTGCTTGACTGGGAGATCCCACACAGCGAGTACACACGTTGGAACTCTCATGGGGAAGATACCACCTGAAGGACTGAGATGGGATGATGATATTTCAGATAAGCGAGTTGTGAACCTGACTGAACCACACAACATACGAGGCTCGTCCCCCAAGTAAGTTTCCCTGGGGCCGTTTACAGAAACAAAACACAATTTCATGTAAATATTTATTGCAACAGATACAGCAAGTGTCCAGCTATTTTTCAACATATTCGCCACCGGATTTGAGACATTTGTCATACCGTGGGACCAACTTTTGAATACCTGTGTCGTAGAAGTCTGCCGCCTGGGATTGGAACCACTGTGTGACAACCATCTCCGCCTCTCTTTCATTCTCAAAACGCTGACGCTGACGCTGACCGGACAGGAATTTCTTGAGGTGTAGGAAAAGATGGAAATCACTGGGAGCGAGGTCCGGGCTGTAGGGTGAATGATTAAACACCTCCCAGCTGAACTCCTGCAGGAGACTTGCTGTCTGTCGAGCCGTGTGCGGCCTAGCGTTATCACTGACCGCACTTCACAGTCGGCGGGAGCTGGAATAAGAACCTCCATCTTCAACAGCTGCAACGATGCTACTGTGAGAACGCGGGAGGTGCCGTTAGTGCATGCGCCATGCTACGTCATTGCTCTATCACGTACGCACAGTCGCTTCGCGCAATATAAGGTTTTCTAGCTGTGGGACGAGTGGGAAACTTACTTTGTGGACGCGCCTCGTATTATCATGTCATTTCATGTAGTGCTGATGCCAATTATGAATTGGGGTGAGGTTCTGTCTCGGTGGAACGGTATTGACAGGAAAACCAAAGAACTATGAGAAAAACTTGTCCAAGTGCCAATTTGGATACCGCAGATGGTTTATTTCATAGAATCAAGTCAAATAAAAAAATTTCTCTGTTTTTTTGTTCCGCATCTGTGATGTGTTTAATGATGTTTGATATTTTGTATTTATAAATAGTATTTTGAATACATATACATAATTACATCTAGGAATAATAATAACTTTGTAATGTTGTGATTGTCAGGTGTCTTGTGGATGTCACCATTCAGCCCTTTTAACAAGGGATGGCGATCTCTATGTGTGGGGACGAAATCTAGACGGTCAACTTGGCAATGGAACACGGAAAGAAATTCCCATACCAACCCCATTAACATTTCCAGCTGCATCTGCTACTCCAAGTACAAAGGTCAGTTGAAATATGGCAGTTATTGGTAGATTTACAAGACTAATGCTATTATGACTTAGAACTTATTCCAAGAAATGAAAGTCACTAGTTGTAAAACCACGAAATGCATATTATGTGACGCTAACTGTAAATTATGGAAATTATGATATAAGAAAGCTCATTATCCCTTGAAGATTTCTGTCGTCTGGGTTGTTGCACTGTGTAGTCCGGTAGATATTTACCACCTGCTCCCATTGGCTGGGGGCAGGCTACTCCATTCACTGTCCGGTTCCTATAAATCTATCCCCCTCCACCCAATTGGCACATTCATCGCCCTGATGACGGTAAACAACTACCAGACTACACGGAGCAACAACCCAGAAGACAGAAATCTTCTTACTCACCGCTATGAAAACCTCAAATCATACATTACCTCTTATTTTATATAGAATAAAACTTCAGATACCTTCAGTTGTTTTTTTAACTTGGTAGTGTCTAATTCAACATTCGTTTAAGCCATTGGGATAAAATAAATTGACTTCCGGGTTAATATTTACTTGCTTCTAAGCAAAATATCATATGTGCATAAATAAAATCTCTGCGTTTGATCCATGTTCTTATAAAAAGTAGAAATTTTCCTGTGACTCTTAGATAAAGAATGTACAACATTTAAATAATTTTGTTTTGTAGAATTCATCACCTTCTCAATCCTCTGCAATGCCAAAATCATCGTCTCCTTCCGGAGTTGTTAGCGGGGGAGAAAAACTAAGACTACAACATATATCCTGTGGATGCGAGTTCACAGTTGCGCAAGAGATTGCATCTGCAGGAAAAGTTTGGGCATGGGGTAATAATTCTCTAGCCCAGGTATGTTTAGATTTAAAATTAACCTCAAGAATATAAGAATTCAAGAATCATATTATGTCATTAGAAAGAACTGTATTCACTGATTAATAAGTTTAAAGTTAACTCAGCTCTCATGTATGCATATAGTATAGTTCTTAAGTTTCATCATGTAAAGAAACCCTTCCTTGAAAATCAGAATGTGTGATCCCATAAAACAAATGAGCAGCAGTATGCAAGAGGTTCATAAACCAGAGCTATGAGACCAGCGAACTAGACAATGCCACTAGACCGTGAAGTGTACAATTATGTTTTTCTTCTTTTTTATTTCATTATGATGTTTATCAGCTTGGTCGAGTACCTGTCGAAGACTCCAAAAGTCTGGAAGGGAAACTTGTGATGCTGAAGACAACGAAACGTGTTATAAAACTTCCTCATGGAAGTCAGAAATCATGTGATGTTCCAAAAGCAGTGCCTGGTCTCCCAAATTGCACCATTTCCTTCAAATATGATAACCTGTCAGGAGTAAGTACGTTCTGTAATCATATCGCTAATTTCATTAAAATAATAAAGGTATTTAATTTTATTAAATTCCTGAAATTTGTGGTGGTTGCTACGATGCATGTTTTATTTGAACACTTTACTTTGTAATAAAAGAAAGCCAGAAGATTTTAATTGGCAAATGTATCCCATGCGATGAATTTCTCATTTTTTTTACGGTAACGTCATCCTTGTCAAAACACTTAGCTCTTCATTGTGGCTTTTGATATTAGCATCACCATCATTCATTTAATAAGTTATTTTGTGTGGGATAATATTAAAATAGGTCATAGAAAGTAGGATTTGGGGATATGGATTGGATTCATCTGGCCCAGGATACGGTTTTGTGGTGGGCTGTTGTGAACACAGTAATGGATGGGTTTCGTAAAAGGCAGAAATTCATGACTAGCAGCGTGTGCTATTAGCTTCTCAAGAAGGTCTGTACTCCATGGAGTTAATTATGTATTGTTTCTGGATGACTTTAGGGATCTGAGAAGTGTCATCTTACAGTTGTATAAAGTATGAGACTGAACAGAAACTGAGTCTCAGGCAGGTCAGTAAAATTTTGTGTTGTGTTATTCATTCCGAGATTACAGTGGCTGCGTGTTCTGAGGCGTGGGCCTTGTGCCGCTTGGTCGCTGGGACCGTGGGTTCGAATCCCACTCAAGCCATGGATGTTTGACTACGTCTTTCTGTGTTGTGTTGTGCTGTGTACAGGTAGAGGCCTCGCGACAGGCCGATCCCTCGTCCAAGGAGTCCTACCGGCTGTCAATAGATCGAGCCAACGAAAAAGTTGGGACCCGCAGTGCTCAGGCACTTGAAGAACGGGTTATCTAAGTATCCAAGTTATTCATACATGTGTCTGGAGATTGATATTCAAGTTAGAGATCAGGCAGTGCAACTACATGTCAGTCGTCATCGTTGTTGTTTTGGGTTGTATACCGTGACGCCCTGAAGATGGAGACAGTATATTTCTTCAAAACTGGTATCTGCCTATGAGTCCACGTGGCGTTACAACCCAGAAGAACAACATCAACATCTTGACTGCTGTGAGGACCTCAGATCTTTCATATTTGTTGATATGATTTAGTGAATATTAACCTTTTGACTTTTCTTGTTTTAGATTGGTGGTTATTGTGTGTATTTAACTCAGTCTTCTACAGAGCTTTGTCCACCTTTGTGTAGTATAGAAGATCCTTGTTATGGTTTACGCACATTGCATTACACTTTGCAACATTTCCATGGTCATTATGATTCTACGTACCTTCTAAATAAGGTAAGTTCATATTCTTAATTATTTTAATTGTTCATTTTTTGAAAATGGTGTTTAAACCAGGGGTTGTCAACCTGCCTGTATGCTTCGTACAGCTTTGCGTGCATTTTTGTGATACTGCTTCAAATCCAACTGTGTCACTTAATGTCATCAGTATTTGGCGGTATTGTTTACCTTGAGAAGCTGCTCGGCTTAATGAGGAATGTCTAATCGAGAACTAGGAAGTGCTGATCAACCAAGAAAATTTTATTGTATATTTATATTACTTATGTTTGATTACCTTCACATGTAGTTGGTTTTGTAAGAAAAAAATAACATTAAATTGTGGGTACTTGTGGGTTATCGGGACACATCGCTTTAAAAATAGGTTAGGTTAGGTTAGTTGAGTTGTCATTTATTGAAATAAAATATAATAACTTTCAAGTATATGTCATTTATCCACACACATTAACCTAACCTAACCTATTTTTAAAGCGATG